GGGGCAAAATGAAGAAAAGGGGCTGAAATTATTTAAATTACCAAAAAAAAAAGAAGAAAAAAACACTATTAGAGAAGAGGAAGAGAGTGAAGTTTGAAGGTCTGAACAACATGTCCGACAGCGACAAGACTGCGACACTGAAATGATATGATAACCTTTATCTTGGCTCTTGGGCCCCGCCTTGGTCCCGGTTCAGAGGGATTCTGACTTCGAATCAATGCCTATCCACTTCCCACAATTAATGAAGGAGATCAAAATTATATTTTTGGCAGATATAATAATTCTTTCCACGATACATACTTTTTACCGCTGAGTGGCATGATCCAGGTGACGACCAACCTGAGAGGGCCCGGAAAATGTTGCCCGTTGTGATAAGTATCGATTTATTGTCGTTGGAAGTATTGAGAGAGGTTATGATATTGTTGGAGCCTAACTTCATGAAATCGACGATGTGCGTCTATCTGCACGAAGAATCCCTAAGTACGGTGAAAATGCATTTTAATTAGCACAGATTTTTACCTCCACTGGAGAATGTCCTAGTGAAACTACCGCAGGGATAGACGGCAAATATCCTTCTCCGCTTAAGGGATTTAAAATTAGGATTAATAAAAACAGGATATTTATATTTCGGGGGGTGGGGGTGGGGGAGGAAGGGATTTCGTTGGTGATATTACGCACATGTCAAATTACGTCTTAATGAAGATTTAAGTCAACTCCATTGGCGAATCCAGGAATTTGGCAACACCGGATTTCCTCCATTTAAACCTATGGAAATGTATCGATTCTTGGAGGGGCCAGGTGCTCCGACAAGAATCGATTATTTAGCATAGGTTTAGATGGAGGAATCCAGTGTTGCCAAATTGCTGGATCCGCCTCTGGTCAACTCGTCTCGTGGCCGAGACCGCGAGGCTCGCTGAAATTTCTGCAAATCGTCGTGCGATTTTCGAGACGGATTAATGACGCGATGCGAGCACAAAAATAATCAGAGAGAAAATGCGACAGCTGAAAGAATGAAAGACGGACTTCAAAACGAAACAGATGATCATTGAAAGCCAACTACCTAGTTGAAGGTAAACAAAAATGACCATAATATGACGGCTCGGAGCGAGAGGAAACGGCGATGGTCGCATGCCGACTGTCTTTTCCTAATCTTTCATTTTTCACGATTTACAACTTTAACTTTTCATCATTTATATTGATTTCTAGTTTCCTCCAAAAAGCTGCTTTCTTTGACAAAAAAAGACGCGTGTGGAATCCAAGGGCGAGGATATCGCCTCTGAATCACGAACAGTGTACCTTTTTCCGAACTCGCATCTCCTATTAGTCTACCAGTGTGTTGTCTACCAGTTGTGAAAAACCGAAATTGGGGACTTTCGGGGACTTTTAGGGGAGTTTTTTTCAAGAATATCGGGGACTTTCCCCCCGAAATAGTAAGAGAAAGGAGCGTTAAAATACGTATTTTATACGCATAATTTTACAAGTCTTGTTGAACCGATGAGAACATACGAAAAACCGAGCAAAACTTCAGTTTTTTTATTCCTGGTTATACCGCGCCGCCGTAACTGGCGGTAAAATTTGAAAATGCCGGTGTTTAGGACGATTTTTATCATTTTTGGGGGACCTGAACAAAAAAATTGGGGACTTTCGGGGATATCTGGGACACCCTTTCAAAATCGGGGATAATCGGGGACATTGAGGACTTTTGGGGACCGGTAGACATCACGATGACCCCGCCCGAAAAGGCTCAGGAACATTAGAAATGGAGACCTTAAAGCAGCCGAGAATAGCGTTAAAGAGTGACGAAACGCGAGGATGGGTTGACAGTGGCATTGTGTTGTCCACGGAGAAATTTTCACTTTCTTCTCGGACCAATCATAGTGCATAACAGAGCTCGGAGCCTGCATGGCTGGCTCACAGGGGCAGAAAGAGAAAGGAAGCGCCGACGAGTCAGCTCAGCGACTCATTGAATAATTCCACTCCTGCGCGGCAGAAAGTGAATCAGTCGCCCCAATTTTCCTCTTATTACACACACTCCCATTCCGAACGGCTCCCTTACGCTTATATTGATGGGATTAAATCCCTTACACGTTCGTCTTCTCAAAGAAAATAGGATTTTACGGAACAAACCCTGAGTATTTACAGCACGGCAACTGCCTACTTGGCCATACCGAATAATTTCTGATTTGGACGTGGTAAAAATCCTGATTGACCCGATTATTTTCCGGATCACGTAATCGCCAATCTCTATTTTGGTGGTACAGGGGTGTTTTTTTTTTTTGGTTTTCTCTGATATAATCAATCATGTCGGATTTCAAAATAGCCTTCTAGACGAACGTACACTTTTTGGAATTTGAAGATCGTCAACAAAGCTAGTACAACAGTTTTTCTTGTTTTTCTCGCATTCGCAATTTTGGCGCTTACGTGATTTGGAAAATGATCGGTTCAATAACAGAACGCACTCCCCCCCCCCCCCCCCCCCNACGCTTTTGAGACGTAGGTCTCCGAGGACTCTATGCCTCAACATGGGAAAAAAATGGCGTACCGCATTCCTCGACCCTCTCTTCTCCAGAGCTTTGCGTACCTTATTAACACTCTATTCGAGGGCTACTTGAAGAAAAAGAAAAAAAAGATTGCTCAAAAGACTGGGAAAGTCTAATTTTTCCGCCTGCGCCTTCTTATTCTGATGCTTCCCTTTTCTCGAAGGATTTTCCTGCGTTTAATATCCAGATCGAGAAGTTTAAGTATTTGTACGTTAGCAATCAGTGCTTGGGAAACAAAAAACTCTTGTTGAAGCCCCGTAAATCTTCATTGGAAAACAAGGGAATTTTTCTTTATTATTATTTTCAGTAATCACTAATTAATATTAATAATTAATTAATATTAAAAACTATATTAGTAATCGAATAATTCCCTAGATATTTTTAAAAATCTTGACATTTATCAGCATTTCAGCAAAGAATTTTTAAGTTGGAATTTACCACCAAAAAATCCCTAAGAATCTGCTTGGTAAAGTCAGTGACTCTTTTAAAGACAACCAGTGGTGCTAGACCAGAAATACCTTGAAAAAAGTTTGTTCACGAATTTTGATAAAGAAGCCCATTCTAACAGGTAAATACCCTCCCCCTTTACAGCTCTTTTTCAATTTAGCATGGAGAGAAGAAATCCACAAAGGAATAAGACAAATTAAAAGTCACTTCAATTTTTTCTTGAGAGTTTGTTTTGCAAGTGATTTTTCATTACCTACTGCAATACCCAGTAAGGTTTCCTTCTACCTTCCCGTTTTTATTAAAACCGGAGCAATGATTCGCACAAGCCGTTGGAAACTCTGTGCTTTAAGAGCTCGGTGTAAAGAATTAATGGGAAAACCCAATCGAAAACTTGCTGGGCAATCAATCGTCTGCCGTCCTTTGCACATGTCCATACCAAACCAACTGCTTGGACCTGATTTCTTGCACGATGTCATTCTCCACACCCATTATCTCGCGCACTTTTACATTGCGGATACGCTCTCTTCTTGAGATGCCAGCAGACCTCCACCAAAAGTCCATCTCAGTTGCCCTAAGCATGTCTTCAGTCCTTTTCTTCAGTTTCCAGACCTCACTCCCGTAAGTTATGATACTCTTCACGATGTCATTGTACATTTTTCTTTTAGTCTCTTCAGAGATACTCTTGTCTCAGAGACCCCCATTTAGCATCGCGATAGCTATGGAAACACTCTGCGATTAAATAGGATTCAACCACTGAGCATTCCCGTGAAGCTTTTTTTGGCTCTTACATTTTTCAAAAATTTAGAGGACAGACCTTGGCAGATTCGTAATTTTGCCAGTGAGGCACCTCTTCAAAGGTATCAAATAGTGCTGCAAGTTTGCTTGCATAGTATTTGATCACTAAATCAATGGCTCAAGTGCGAAACAATGTATCTCCACTGCGGTGTTTCAAAATCTCTGCTTCTAGAATGGACTCATTGTATGTTGAGACAATGTCCATCTTTGATTACCTCCGAATCAGTACTACTCAACAGGTTAATACATGCAGTCAGATGGTACCACTGATGAGTGGTGACCTAGGCGATACTTCACTTTTGTCTCAACATACAATGTCTGCTCTAGGTATTTCAATGTCTTAAAGAGAAAAAACCAACTTTAAAGCTTGAAATTTAGACAGAATATTCTGCTAGTAGAGAAGAAAAAGTAGGGAAGTTTTCAAAAAATTAAGTTGACCAATTTTCCAAAGAGAAAATAGAGTATGACAAGAAGTCTGTGACGTCGCAAACAGAGATATGCGGTTCTGCAATTTCGGCATTGAAATACCCCTTCAAACCATCTCAGATATCACTACTGCAACCTTAAGGAAGAGTTTACCAGTCAATCGTCATAAAATACAACCTCATCTATTGGCAAAGCTAAAGGCAAGCTTCTAAATAGAGAGGAAACTTTCAGGTTCCGTCTGTTATATTTCTCAAAATAAAGAGAGCCTCAACACCTCATCTCTATTCGTAATATGAGTTTCGGTGATCTAGAGGGACTTCTACTGCTGAAAGTACTATCACCGATTTTCAAGGTATTACCTACTTACTTATGTTGAGATCAAGTTCAATATCTCTGTAGAAGTAGCTACAGGTAGCGTAATGAAAGGACGGTCAAATTAATAACCTAACAATTTGAACCACGAAAGGAAATCCTCTGTCTGACGTCAGCTGATGAACAGAAAGAGGGGTGAACTGGAGAAATACATATTGAGCCCATTATCACTGTCCTAAAAATGATACCATCCTCAGAGCATTGAATAAACCTAACTAAACAACGCAAGTCATTTTACCTAAGGCAACGCTAGGATAAATAATTCTTGACATAGACTGTATGCTACGGACAAACATAGCTTGATGAATATAAAATTCGAACTTAAGTTAATGGTTGCATACTGAGATACGCAACTGATCAGATGACCCCGAGTATCTGGGGTAGTGTAAGATAAACAAACTTAGGGGGTTGTCAACTTACCATTGGCTGGTTTCTTGGTTGAGCCAAATACAGATGCTGGTCCTACAGACTGCTTTTTCCAGCCTCTCCAGTTATTACAAAGAGATTCTGGTTCTGTGCTCCAGCTGCAGAGGGAATCGTCTTCAAACCTATCTGAATCTTCAAATGAAAATCTATCATTATCAGTATCAGCCCAGGGGTCCAACATTACAGTTCAGCTATTGATTCACGATGAACCTTCTGACTTAACTAAGTTAAAGTTTTCCGAATTACACTAATAATTTATTTAGAACCTGAGCAAATAATATCACAATTGAAAACTTAGTTAAAGAAACTACTGGGCACTGACACTAACTGATCACTATGAGAGGCCTTTGACCTCAAACCCCATACTACTGTTGACCTACTATTGTAGTAAACTGTTGGGTGCTGTTAGCGTGCTGAAGCTTCCAGCGTAAGACACTTTCAGATTTACACATAATTTCTTCAGATAAACATCGAATATCACTAATTAGACACAAGTATAATTCCTCAGTCCAGACGCAACCCCTGAATTGGCAACAACAGACAATAACTAAATTTTAACATGGTGGCATTATTCAGTACTTCTCTCTTTGTCATAGAATAAGTAGACTACGTCTACAGAGGCGAAAACGAAAGCTCCGTAAGAACCAATGTTAACATTTTTCTTCGCAGAGTCGGTACTTATTGAAACCAATTTCGAGGTTACCTACTAATATATAAGTGGAAAAAAACCTTAAATTTTAAGCGAATTCTCAGTGCTTCTCCTATTGAACGATTAATAAGTTTAAAAAAAACTCTTTCAATTCCTAAAAACGTATGTTTATTACTCGACCTCTCCTAAACATCGACCTACCGCAAACGTAAACAGTACTTATTGAAACAGCTTCCCAGCTTCCCTTCGTTATGCTTCGTTGACATGAAAATGGCGGTAGCTTTCGCTTCTGTTGACGTTAGTCTCTTCATTCTACGTCTTTGTTGGTCTTTGTTGGTCTTTGTTGAGTACTTCAATGTTCCACGGAAGTGCCAACATACTGCAGTTAAAATAAACGCTAAACAATTATTCAGGTTCAATTTAACTCGGTATAAAATGATGATTAGCCCGTCTATTTATTAAATGTAAAGAATTGATTCAGGGTAAAGTTTATTTCAATGACTTTCATAGCAGGGTGATTACGAATGAGATGGTTAAAAGCCTCAGTGCTCTGTCGATTGGTGAGAAAGACTGTTGGTACGCGTGTAGGAAAGGAATATGAGTGGGGGCGATTGGGGGGTGACGGAGAGTTCACAACACTTTGAGCGCCAAACGCAAACAATACAATAGTATTTTAATTGCCTTGTCCTTTAAAGGATTTTTCATTTTTGAGACGTTGATAAATGACAATTTTATCCTGATACTGAAATGATCAGGTGCTGCAGTACAGGCTAAATACTATAGCTATAAAAATTAAAAGAGAACCGTATGTGGATGTTTCAGTTGATGTTAAACTTGTATGAGAACCTTGATTTAGTTCATCGACCTTTCATGGTGCTTTGGCGATGATAAAATCTGCCAACAAGTGGATTGAGGATGTTTATGAGGTGAGGTATCTACCCTTTGAACGCTTGCACACTTTTTTCGATTCCCATCTTGTGCGACAGTTCTTCAGACCGCGAGAGGGAACGAGAAGAAGAGGAAGATGCAATTTCCGTACAATGAGGTCCTTCAGTATTAAGACGAATACCTACTTAGTTCTTTTCAAAAACTTATCTTGCTTCCTTTCTCGCTGTTGAATTGATACAAAACTACAGCCACCCTTGACTCCAGCTTCAGAGAGAAATAGGTACCCGGAGTACAAAAAATAACGATAATATTCTAAGAAAATGCGCAAATGGAGGACAGGGCGCATGAGTGCAAGGTGTTGCTGGGGAATGAAGTATTTCAAGAAATACTTAGGTATACTAGGGATGGTCGAATATTTAGATATTCGAATATTCGATATTCGAATTATCGGCACCGAGATAATCGCTTACATTCGAATATTCGCTTCTGAAGTCTTCGAAATCGCAAATTCTAATAATTCGAATAATCGCATTCAAAAGCGTCAAAAGTGTCATTTTATCTCTCACGGTTCATAAAAAATCAAAAATCGAAGCAATAATCGAAAATATTTGAATATTCGCATCCGAATTATTCGCAATCGCAAGATTCGAATTCTGAAATATTAGCAATAATCGCATTCGAAAAGTTTCGAATGAGTACACTTTCACTCAAATTGTGGTAAAAACGGGACGGAGAGTCAAGGATAATGACATGCAGTCCTCCCTTTGCGGCGATTTTAGGGCCGATTTTATCTCCCCGTGTCAAGACGGTGTCAGAGCCGTATCAGCGTCTGACACCGGTGTTGGCTCAAACCTCGATTTTATGTCGATTCTCGCTGCGTGTCAAACCCGTGTTTGGGGGTGCGCGTCGGTGTTTCGCTGACACGCCTCCGGAGCTGTGTTCCAGGCCTTGACACCGGTGTTTAGCTGATCCCGGGTGGGTTCACGACAAAGAATTGCATCGCGGCTCTGCTCGGTGCTAGACAAGTCTGATCTGAACGTGTTCCAGCCAAGTTTCAGAGTGAAGATTTAAAGATTTTTGGAATTGTTTTGTAATGAGCTGATAGGAATTTGTACGCTCTTATAAAAAGGTCGTATAAAATTTTCCCCTAAAGTCAAGGGTTTAAAAGAAAAATGAGTAAAAAGGTCACTGATCATACGAATTTTTGTCTCCACCCTTTTTACCTAAAACCCTTATTTTTGGTCTCAACAATTATTTTTTCGAAAATTTTGTGTAATCAACCGATAGGAAATTTTACGGCCTTCATAAAAGGTCCTATAACATTTTCCTCTAAGATTGAAATGTTTAAAGGAAAATGAGGAAAATGGTCGCTGATCGTGAGAATTTTAGCCGCGGCTTTTTTTAAACCCATCTTTTTTGTCACAAGAATTTTTTGTTTTGTAATTTTTTTGAAATGAACCGATAGAAAATTTTACGGCCTTTGCAAAAGGTCCCATTTTCCTCTAATATTGAAAGGTTTCAAGGAAAATGAGAAACTACGCAAAACTAACATCACGCCCAAGCAAGGCATAAGGAAGTATACGTGATTAACCTCAAACCCAACAATAGTAAACACGGTTGTCTCTGGTTGATAATGACACGAACTAACCTCAAACCTCAACAAACCCAGCAGAAACTATGTGAACAGACACGATTTTCCAACGAAACCTCGAATTTACGCAGGAAGGTCTTTAGCGAGAGCGTGTCCTGTGAAACAGGCTGAATTCGGGGAGTTAAAATCGGTCTTGGTGTGTCAGCGGCCGTGTCAAGCTAAAACGGGTGTTACCTGACACCGGTGTTAGCGCCGTCCTGACACTGAGAGTAAAAGCGGCGCGCCAGCCAGGGAGATCGCACGGGACGGGACCCGAGTAATTGCTGGAGTGTGGCGCGCCTTCAATCCGGCTGGCAGCAACATGCTTACACCCGTGGTCGAATAGTTGTATCACTGCGCCTGCCGTGAATGAGTTCAAATATCCTTTCCTACACGCGTAAGGAAGCGTATTTAGCTCCGACTGCAACGTTCCAGGCCTCAACTAATGCGTTTTTTTTAATCATTCTTGTTACGAAAGGCAAATACAGTTTTTCTAAAGAATTTCCGCGGATTTTCTTCAGTCGCCGGAAATTTTGACGCAATATTTTCGCTCGTTTCATGCCTCATTTTAAAAAAATGAATTTAATAAACCCAATCCGACAATTCTGAATCGTTACAATTCAGGGATACACTTTCACTCAAAAAGTCACCAGAGGTGCATCTACATTTGTGGCAAGTACATTCATATTAACTAATGGTAAGATTTCTCTTAATAATCTGAGAAGTTATTATTAGAGTCCCTTTATACCCAGAGTTAAGACAAACTCACTTTTGGTTGGGCTGGAAGTGGCCTAAAAAAAATCCAATTCTGATTGGTTCTCGCTCATGGAGGCCGAAACAAGTGCACTAGGATGGCGGTACCTCGAATGTGAACAAGAATAATGAAAATATTACCTAATTGTGGTTTATCGAGAGTAAATTGTTATTTCCATCGGTCCAAAATGAAAATAGATTAAGAAATTATCCACAAATTAATCTCATTTTCTTTTTAATTGATCAATTTGTTGATGTTGTTGTTTTTGTATGACAGCTACATTGCAGGATTTCTGATCCGCATCCCTCAAAATTGTTCGTTAGGGTGCACTCGTTTCAGCCTCCATGGCCAGCCAAGGCCGGCTGCCAGTCAGCTGATAATCGAGTTGTCTTAACTCTGGGTATAAAGGGACATTAGTTATTATGGTTGAAAGCCACACATGTTGGTGGAATACAACTATGTAAGAATATAGTTACATAACTATGTAACTATGTAATTGAAAGGTACAACTGCTTTATTGAAAAAATAAAAAATATAGTAAAATTTAAACAAGATAGTGAAAAATCTGAAGGGGAAAAGAAACAAGTTTTCTCAGAAAAGGACACACAAGAAACTCTTTTTACAAAGGATATACCGATGAGGGAAGTTTTTGAGGAATCAATTCATTACCAACTGTATAACGTCCAGCCCACTTACAAACTAGAAGCTAAACTTCCTGGGTGACTTTTAACATTAAATATTTCATCTTGACATTGGAAATACAAAATAAACTTTATACAACTGAAAATTCAGTAGAATAAAAGAGCATGAATTTTAAAACATCGGTATTCTGTACTGTTCAATATAAAAAATCTAAATCTATGCCAGGCACGATGAAATCGTTGAATGGATAACTGAAGCTAAGAAATTTGCCATCACTTGGACCTGAAACAAGAAAAAAGATATTGAGTAAATATGATATTTATAGTGCCTAGATGGGAGTCAAGTGAAGAGTAAATACTTCAGTAAATTTTAACTTTAAATGTCAAAGAATAGGTAGAGTTGAAAAAAAAAGAACAGTTCTTCCACACAACAAGATTGAATAAAAGCAAGGATGGGTTTGATATGAAAAAACAGGAGTAGAGAAAAATCTTAAGCTCAACTTAAGTTGGGAACAGACAGCAATGTGATGTTCCTCGAAAAAATACAGTAGAAAAAACCATGTTTTACTCTTGCACTCTGCCAGACTCCAATATCCATTTTTCTCCAGTACCAGTTTACAGGAAATTTGAGACTGTAGTTAACTCAAACAGATGACGCTTCGATACTTACAATCAAAAAGGATATCTAAATTATCTAAGTCTGCTAGGTCATCCATCGTATAAAGAGAGTCGTAACCATCCACATTGTCAAAATGATCATCCCACGAGGTTTTAATTGGTTTGAAGCATGTAAGGGATTCAAAATCATCAGAATTGAGTCTTAAATTCTGTTGTAGTAAACTATCAACTTCGTCTGCGAATCAAAAATGAAATTGAACATGTATGAATAAATTAGAAAAGAAATCGGTGCTGATGAACAAATTGACTATAACAACTGAAAAGTAATATAGGGTGTCCCAGAGCACCCGCACAAAGTGAGTGAAGATCAAAAAGAAAACTTCCCCTTATTCTTTGAATGTCCACCAGAGATTTTCTCTTCTGGAAACTTTTATGAAAATACTTACACATGCAGTGAGTAAATACATGAACTTCAATAGGGAAAACACAGTACTCACACTTTGAGGAACAGTCAAGAGCCTTCGGAAGTACCCACACCCATCCTGTCATTCAACTTTCTTGAGAAAATTTGATCCTTAGCAGTAAACAGGAATTTGACATTTGAATCAATTGAAAGTGTTGCATCTGCCCCCTTTTTTAGTTGTTTAAGTAAATTCATCATTTTACCGATATCCATGTAGCAGTGATAAGTTGCGATTTGATTGGAGAATGTATCGCGTTTTATCAACATTGATTTATTGCAATTTAAACAGATAGAAAATTGCGATCAATTGCAATCTAATCTTGAAAATTTGCAATAAAATCCTGATTTTATCGACGGTGCCTTATTGCAACGTTATCAAACAAAAAATCATGATAAATTGAGATAAAATTTTGACTTTATCAAACGCAATTTTATAGAGACAAAGTTGCGACAAGATCATGGATAATCGTTCAGATGTCGATTTTTTGCGTTACACCCTCTGCATCAACAAAAACGAGGAAGAAACCAAGGCTTCCATTGCCGCGGTGGATGACGTCAAAAACTTGACTTTTCACAGTGCGATATCTTGGTTAATATTGAACACAGAAAGTTGCGGTTTGTAGGTACAGATCTTATAACTTTCAGCTAATCTACAAAAATCAAGCATCAAAACACGATTCGGTGACCAGCGCAACTGACCCATTTCAAAATATCACGATTTTTCCGTTGGAAAATGCTACTTGGGTAGAGGCACTGACACTGTGAGGTAATTAGCCTCATGGAATGAGGTAATTTAGCTTATGGAACCCATCCTTCATTGTTGCATTAAGGAAGGCAATGTTCTCTATATAAATATCAGATTCAAATTGTTTGAAACATATGAAAACGATTCTAAGAAACTTACCAATCATTAAATCTACAGAGCAGTCCTCATGAAGATCTTCAATTTCATCGTCATAAAAATATCGAGGATTAAGATCAGCAACAACTATGAGATCAGCCTCATCTAGATGCTCAGTCTTTTCTAGGGTTATTCTTCTTTCAAAGCAAGTGCTTGTGTTCCTACAACTCGCTGAGTCATTTTGTCTAATGTTCATTTCTGTTGCCTTGTGGACTGAAGTCAAATTTTTGGCTGTTTGATGGATTGTGTTGCCAACATCAGCCAATTTCCTGCGATTCTGGTTGGACGTGTTTGCTGCTAAGGAGACAAAATAGATAACATTAGTGGGCAACAATTTGTGGCCAGCCTTACAGGGAAAGCAATTGTTTCCGGAGAGGGTATAAGAGTATAAACTAAATTATTGGATTAAGTTTTAGAGCAGAGAAGCACAAAATTTGCATTTTCATTTTTGCATTCGAACTATTAGTAAGTGTAAGAATCATGATATGAAACTTTCTGTCTTACACTACAGGTCGCTGAATTTCTTTCCAATGAACTCAAAACAGTTCGATCAACTTTAGATGGGGATGAATTACACCTCAGCACATGGCTGGATTTGCGTAATTACTGCCTCTAGGGTGTAAAGATTTTGCTGCCGCCAGGGGGAGGGGGGGAGGTACCCTCCTGTTCGTAAATTACGCACCCAACACACTTTTTATTCAGATTTTCGTACTCTCTCATTATCTATTTTTTGGTCTACATTAGTCATCACTTCGGACCTAATACTTCCTGCTATGCTGTCGGAAGGGGGGCATGGCAACGTCAGGGCCCTATTTTCATTTTTCTCTTCGCACATTTCTTGCCGCCCTCCAAAATGGATGACTTATGTATAAATCCGGCCATTCTCAGCATTTCAAAGAATTATGTAAGAGACGTTGATTGATGTAAAGTTTTATGCTGGAAACTCCTGACACACTTGAAATGAAACTCTCTATGTGAATGATTTTAGAATTCATTTGGAGTTTGGCAACACTCCATTGGAAGTGACGCTTACGCTTACTTTGAGACAAGAGTTATGACCCAAAGGTATAATTTACTTGTTGCTGTTACTGGAATCCGATTTAAAGAGAGTGTGAGAACCAGGGATGGATTTACCTTTTTAGCGCTCCTAGGCAAATCTTATAGTCACGCCCCTCACAGAACAGACGACCGTGTGGGGAGTCTGGGGGGTTCTGGGGTCCTCCCCCAGAAAATTTTTAAAATCCGGCATTTGATTAACGCAATTTAAGCTACTTTTAGGTTCATTAACAGAAAAATTTGGTGGCTGAGATGACTCGTGTGCTACCATAATTTTCAAAAGGCACAGGGAATTAAAACAAAGCAAAACTAAACAAATGCGAGAAAAGGTTGGAAAAAGTAAAGAGAAAATTTTACTCATTAATGCAGAGGGGGCGCAGGTTTTACGAACCTTACTAGTATACAAGGACAGATTCAAAGATATTATTCTTTTCGCGTGCCTCTTGTTTCGTCCTTAATTTTTTTTACTGATTTCAATTCTAGAACCCTTAAAAAAGTATGCATGTGTCTCAAAATTTTGCGTCCCTCAAAACTTTAGGCCCCTAGGCATCTGCCTAGATCTGCCTTGTGGGAAATCCGTCCCTGGTGAGAACAGCATGTTAAAGGTTGAAAGACACTGACAAGGAGGTTGTGAGTGATGGAGGCTCCGCAAGGCAAGGTGAGTGATCAGGTACGGGCATGCTGACAAAAAATCTTACATTTCACACGAGGAGGACCAGATGATGTATGAGAAGGATTTTCGTAGAAGATGTCCATGATGGTTGTTTCCTGAGTGTAGAATTGTAGAAAAAATTAAAATTTATGCACGCACTGAGGGATGGTTCATGTGTCCACCAAGGGTAATTGTGAACGTAATTATACTCAATACACGAGCGAATCTGATTGTGATCGAGTAACAGACGCAGGATTCTATACCAAAGGAAAAGATTGCTTTGTTCGGGTCGAGTTCTTACTAGTGTCACAACAAGTTAGGGTTCGTTATCTTTTCGTTTACATTACATTGTTTACATCGCGGTCCTCTTATCAGCGGTAAAACGCCGCACTAGGAGCGCAAGAGTGCCTCATGCCGTGTTGCCTTATCGCCTCCCGTTCAAGCAACGTTCTAGTATGACGAGTGTTCGACGACCACTAATAAGAGAGGGAGAAAGTTGGGGATTGGGAAGGGGGGAGGGGGGATAGTACTTTCTACATTATTTTCTTTATTAACTTTAGCATGCGCGTATTCTGTTTGTTTTAAATTTTTTATTTTTAAACATTTAACATTTTTACGTACATTCAAAAAGGGCCGGGAGCCCCCCGAAGAAGTCACACTATTTATGTAATGGGGAGACAGATCCTGCTGATTAATGGAAATAATTAAAAAAGAAAAAAATAGATCAATCTTTAAAAAAATTGGCAGGAGACCCTCTTACAATATGAGGAACGAGAAATAAAGGTCCTTTCTCCCGGACCTATTTCCAAAAAAGGGCCCAGCGAGCTCAAAAACGGCGACTCGGCAATACGTTAAATGAGCCAAGGGATCTGGAGTTATAAATGCGATTTAAAAAAAATTTAACCCACCAAACTTCATGAAAATTGGCGTGAAACACTCTCAAGATATATGAAACGAGAAATGATGGTCCTCTTTCGGACTTATTTCCAAAAAGGTCCCACCGACCTCTAAAAGGGCGACTTGGCAATATATTAAACTTCATGAAAATTGGCAAGGGAGTGCTCTCAAGATATGTGAATTGGGAAATAATGGTCCTCATTCCCGGACCTGTATCCAAAAAGGGCGACTCAGCAATACATTAAACGAGCCAATTGAGATCCGGAGTTATAGATGCAATTAAAAAAAAATTCAGAACACTCAACTGCATAAAAATTAGCAAGGAGCACTCTCAAGATGTCTGAAACGAGACACGATAGTCTTCTATCCCGGACCTATTTTCAAAAAAGTACTTGAAGAAGACAGACTTGACATGACTTAGACTGGACGGAATCAGTTTGACGTGACGGACTTAGACTAATAGACTTGACATGACGGACTTAGACTTGACGTTAGACAGACTATTGGACTATCGAAGGGGGCCGCTTCCACAGAAGCCTGGGCGGCTAGGCACACATAGTTGCCATATCGACAGTCATACATAATAAATCAGGAATCCGCTAAAAATTTGAAAATGGGGAATAAGAAAAAGGAGGAAATTGGAAAGGAGGAGAGGAGGAGGAAGAAACAGAGAAAAAAGAGTAGGGAGAAGAGGAGGAAGAAAAGAGAAAAAGAAGAGGAAGAAAAGAGAAAAAGAAGAGGAAGAGGAAGAATATGGGTGTTTTCACGATAACTGGAATAGTTTTGTTGCCGTAACAGACAGCACATTTTCCGGTCAAATTTTCAGTAGAAATGATAACCACTCTAATGTTTTCGCATTAATCTTCACAGGGGTACGTATTATAACGATTTCTAATGATTTATTGCTGTACTTCTCAATTAATATTATGTAAATTCCGAAAATGTGCTGTCTGTTACACGGAGAAAATTCAGCGTGACAGACAGCACATTTTCGGCCATTTATAAATTAGAATTGAAAAGTAAAGCGATAAATCTTTGAAAAGCGTTAAAAGACGTAACCCTGAGTAGATTAATGCAAAACAATTCTAGTGATTATCATTACCTACTACTAAAAATATGACCGAAAAATGTGTTGTCTGTTACGGCGACAAAACTATTCCAGTTATCGTGAAACCACCCATAGGAGTAAAAAGGAACTGACAGAAGAAAGAATAATAAGAAGGAAGAGGGAGCAGAAAGAAAGTTAAGGGAGACGAGAAAAAAGAGGAAAAAAGAAGATGAAGAGGCTAGGAATAATTAGGGAGTCGCATAAAAGTGATACGCATCATGTGTGACATTTTTTCTAGTTACGCTCATGATTATTTTTATAATTTCCTCTTGTTTTACACTTAAGTAAAATTTCTAGTTCATTATTTTTATGGAAATGTTACCATTACGCCTCTAATCACCAATTTTGCAATTACTTAAGTGTGCCCTAAAATCTGAGTATAAGGGGGAGTTTCTAAACTGGTGACTGAAAAAAAAAATTTCTTGTAAGTTACTCAAAAATAATGGCGTTATTAATTTTTTAAAACTCCAGTCAAAAAATCAGAAAATCTCTTGTTCATTGAGTCTATATTGTACATTAAATTATTATTGATCAGGCCACATATTTTAATGACAGTTATCTCTTCTTTGGTGCCCTTCCAGGTTCTTATTATGCTTCCCTCAGTCAGCTCCCGACTCGGTGTAGATTCGAACAAGGAAGAGGGTAATGTACCTTCGAAAGGCAGCATGTTTTTAATTGAATATCGAATCCTCAATCATGAATATTTTTGTCAAGTTTTTCGTTGGAAATTATTGTGGAAGCAGCCGTTTGTTCAGTTCACAAAACCTTCTTTTCAGACAAATGACCTACTTATTAGAGCATTATTCTGGAGGGCCCAATGGTGATCTCATGTTTATGCAATACTCGTCTGTGGTATCGCGCTCACAGTGCTTAAGCTTTTTTTCTTCAATTAATTATTAATTCTTTACAAGTAGGTATTAAATGGTCTCATTTCTTCATATTTATTTTGACTTGTATGACACACAAAACGGTTCAACTAATCATAATCACCTCTTAAAGGGGATATTTGGTCAAAGAGAAAATAGGTACAGAGAGTTGCTCCCAAAGTTATTTTGAAAAGGTAAAATAACAAAGAAAACTCAAATTTGTAATAAATCGATTCAATTTTCATAATTTATTTTTACTTGTACAACAAATAAAACTTATTTAATACAATTTGAAGAGCAAGGGACAAAATATGATACACAGGGTAACACCTAAGAACAATAGAAGTTTGATAACAATGCCATTTTCAGTTACACATTTCAACTGAAATTATTCATTTGTTCATTTCTTATATAAATTACCTTGGTTTTCATTCAGGACTGAAAGTAATTCAACGGAAATAAAAATAAAGAGACGTTTCAGAGAGAATAAGAAAAAAAATTATAAAAAATTTAACTGTATTAACAACATTAAACTTTTCACGCTGTTCCAAGCGTTAAAATTATGACTATGCTACTATTTACAAATATGATACATGTTTTAAGGAAGTCTTATAATACATATTTAATTAAGAAGATTACAATTTTACAAGAAAAGATAATTTCAATCCTCTTTACTAACTTTTCCTTTGTGAAATCTTTTAGACTGAATCTGTCATAAACAAAAACTAATAAAACCACAGGCTTGACATTCCGAAGTTTTTACAAAAGTATCTCTATTTTCCTTTGCACTTCTACAAAGCAGGGAAACAAAAGAAAACGAAGACTGCAGCAGATCTAAAAATATTTTCATGACTAGATGATAAATTGAGAGGAGGTAGGATATACATACATTTACAATGCTAACAATTTCATCATTTTTTTTATATGTATAAATATAAAAAAAAAAGAAATTGATTAATCCGTCATTAAAAATCAGTCACAAAAATGTATTCAGGAGACCAACACTCCCACTCATTGCCTTTAGCAAACAATATTCATGGATTAATTCAAACATACACCGTTGAGTCAAGTATTCAACATACTTTAACCCACAGAAATTACAAGCCATTTTTTCTGTTGCTCTAGTTTTTGACAAGTTGGCCACTGCAGTAAAAAAAAAAAAAAAAAAGGTTTATTCTTTGACCTTTATTTCATCCACTTTTTTTCCAACAATTCGTTGATATCAATTTAGAAAGGGATTAAGAAAGAGAGCCTTTTAAGAAGAGAGAGAGGGATTCTTTCCTGCCTCTTTGCAAAAGATTTACATGTTTTGACGCAATAGATTTTTTGGAGAAATTATTACTCTCCTTTTTTGTTTTGTTTTCCTTTACTTTTTTTTAAAATTCAGGTCTGTCCAAAAGGGGCGTTGAGAATCTTGGAGAAAGATCCTTAAGCCTATTTGTTTTCAGAAGAAATTTTCAAATGCTTTTAGTGCTTCAGTCTATCTAAGAGCTTACGGAAAATGAAAGCTTTAGAATCTTTACCCCAAACAGTAAAAATATTGTGTAAATAATAAAGTTATAAATAAAATGAACACAACAGATGATGGTTGTTCACAACAAGTAAAATAACATGACTCACAAAGGAAATCAAGTTCCTCTTTTCAGTTCAGTGGAAGTAATGCGTTCAGAGAGCATGTTATTGGGTACGAAAATGAATGTTGGAAGTAACCAGTCTTCAAAAAGCAACAACTCATTGTACGATACATGAAGTATAAACCAGCACGAAGGGACGATGTAAATCCATTAAGATTTAATGAAAGATCATATTGTAAAGACTTACACATTTCAAAATTTAGAAGAAATCAATCTAAAATGTAGCTTCTTTCAGGGTAGAAGAACTTTTTTCTATTTTTCCCTTCAATATCGGGAATATGGCATATGCAGAAAACATCTATTGCAGAAGATTTGATGAAAGTTTGTAATGGAACACAATAGATTGAAGGGTAGAGGCAAGACAACAAAAAAAAAGTTCAGACCCTAACTGATTAAGTATGGAAAACAAGTCAACATCAGGCTGAATCTACATATGAGTCGTTTTTCTTTTTTTTTTTTTTAGTACAAAAAACACAGAAGCTTGTCAACTTTTACAGTTCATCATTTTTTTCACATTTAAGGATAACTGAAACCAACTGCATTCAATCGGGTCAACGAATAGAGCGAGTAATTCAGTATTTGGATGCTAACTAACAGAGCCAAAAAACAAGGCAGAAATTTATTCAGTCAGGGGTCAAAGTTCTTTAGAACTGAACCAATTTCATTCAAGTGAAAGTCTAGCCAGTACTGAATTCGATTGCACACAGTATTTTCTCAGTATAATGCACATTACAAAAAAGAATAAAAATGAAAAAATTGACTCGCAAAAATTCACCGGGCAAATGTTAAGGAAAAACCGAGAAATTTCACAAGTGTGGTAAATCTGATAAACTGATAAATATCTTGGTACACTATAGATGACCTTTGAATAGTCTCATTTGATAGAAATAGGAAATCAATCCAAGACTAACTTGATTCCAATCCGACAGGTTACTTTTGTTTGCTTAAATAAGCAAACCTAGCTGTTCCGAACAATCTTAAAGCTTGACATTGAAGGTAAACTATGGAAACATTGGAGTGTGACAATTAGCATAGGTTCAAAGTCAACTGATTTCTGAAGCTATGATGACAGATCTTACGACTATTCTCGTTAATTCATCAGTACTATGAGAGGAAATGAGTGCAGAGGTGTACAGCTGTGTGTTACAGGCAAGCACTGCTTGCCCTCCCCAGGGTATTCATGTTCGACAAACTATTTCAAACCATTATGACTTGCTCTGAGGTGGATTGAAGTTATGATGTGAAGCCAGCATATTTCCCTTTCTTGACAAATAAGGGATGGTTAATAAAAGATTAATTTTGCTACTTAAGCTTGAGGGAATGGATCAACTTTAAAATGAATTAATACCTGCTTCTGGGGTGGATGGTGTTGTGCTAAAATGTGTGCCATGAAGCAAATTTTATGGTTTGTAACCTTGTTGAGAGCAATCCTCACAGAGTTTTGAAAACAGGAGGGAGCCAAAATTTTGTTTCTCTGCCCATGTGAAAAGTAGGGAAAGGCATTAAGAGCGCAGTGCAGTGCTATTTCTGATACACGCATCTGATTATCATATCTCTCGGTGGGAATGACAACCTACTAACGAGTGATCAAGCATATGATCTGTATGCACAATATTGTTGACTGTGATCATCTGTTAGGATAGCTTCCTGATTACCAGAGTTCCAACCATGCAATAACAGTTATTAAAATTAGCATTGGCTTAATATTCCTAACAAAATGCTTTTAGATATTTTACATTTCAGACTGTAAAATCTTATTTTTTAATCATTTTCGATGCTAATCAACAATGTTGAGGAGGTTATGCTGTGTGTATATACCTTATGAGGAATGTTTATCAGATTGAATGAAGCGGAGCAGAGAAAAACAGTGACAGCTTTCAATAGGTTTAGAAATAATAAATTTTGCATCGTCAAAGCTCCATTAAAAAGATCAGTCTTTTGGAAGCGAAGTAATATACAATTACTTAACAATTAAACTTACATTTGACAAAAAAATTAAGCGTGAATTTTGCTACTTCTCATGGCAACTTTTATAAGAGAGCTCCATGACCTCTGCGCCTGAAGAGAGGGAGAACGCACTTAACATTTAATTTCACCCACACAGGAGAAACCATGAACAAAAATCATAAGAAATTGCTTGGCACTTACAAAAATTTACAGAGTAAACATAGATAAACTAAATACAAAATCAATTTACAAATCACAATTATTTATCTAACTAAAATGGCATGTTGTCACTTGTTACTTCTATGAAGTGTTGAATAGCTTCATTAAAAATAATGTTTAAAATTAAGTCATACCTACCATGACTAAATTCAGTAGGGTTGAGTCTATTCAAATCCTTTTAAGTTCTGAGCTAATTTCAAAAGTTCAAATTTTCAAATCCAAACTTCTTTGGAATCAAATCCTTTTATAAATAACTTGTTGGGAAAATGTTCTTCTTTATGAGCAAGTTTTGATTTTTAAGCTTAGGGTGAGAAAAAACAGATCATTAACTTTTCTTTATAATTTCAAAAACCACATTTGGCACTTTTGGGAAGATTTCACTGAGCAAAATTGCATGCGATAATTTTTACATTTAGTCTTTCGAGAATCACAACACTTGCTGCTTGATTTTTGAACATAGCCAGAACAAAGAAGTGCAGTTTCATGGAAATATAAAGAGACATCAATATCGCACACAATTGTGATAGGTTTTATAACATTAAAGCTGATTTTAAGGCTTTAAATTGATTATCTTTTGGTTCACTTGCTCAGAATACATCTGTATAAAAAAGTCTGAAATAACTCACTTATTTACAAGGATTTGAAATCTGAGATCAGAGGAATAGATTTCAACCAGCCCTACAAAAATATTTAGGAGGGTAAGAAATTGCAAATCAATTAAATAGATACTTTGTATAGTAGTTGCACACACTGTCCCCAATTCATCCACGTTGAAGTAACTTCCGAAAAGCATGGGCGCCTCGAAAGCAAAAAATGCACTGTTGACAATACTACATAGTTCGATTACACCACTTTTCAATGGGCAGACAGAATATTTGTCAAATTTTCTTTCTGCTCTAAGACTTGAATGACTCCATTTCTATGAATGAACAGATTGAACCTGACTGATGGAAACACGGACGTATTTATACTGAAAGGAACTGTGTTGCTTGGAAACCCTACGCAAAAAGTTCGTTTTAGCAAAAATACATCCATATTGTAAACAAACGCTGAAGAATGTTCTTACATGGTTCGCAACAGGCAGTATAGTAAAATATTCTAATGAGAGATTCCGCCTCATGCTTCTGAAAGTTACCATGCGTCTGATATACGAGTTTAATTGATGAACAAACTCCAAATGTGATTGACAGAATGAAGAGCCTGGGTTACAAAATAAAAATCAAGAGCAGGGCTGGAATCAATGCCAAATGGAAAAGCCATTATTTGAAGAGGCCTATTAGAATATGTATAATGTTTGGTGGAAAATTAGGTATTCATGGTGCAAAATTTCTCCGAAATATTGGAGAAAGAATTCAACACTAAATGAAAGGTTATGCATGAATTTCGGTAGATATTTCACAGAATTTTTATTCAAATGCACTTTGAGACCGCAAGGGCGTCAGGTCACTCACAAGTTAACGCTTATTTCCCAATAATGTTTTAGCATCCACAGAAAGAGAAGGGTAAATGCACCATTACAATTACCATTATAATAATTTTTACGTGGAAAATTGAACAGAGTTTTCATTCTGTGGACTGCCATGCTGTGATACGTTGGAGCAATATAGCGGTAAAAAGGAACAGCTAAGAAGGTAAAAGTCTATAGAGCACCGGTTGCGATTATCCTTCATTATCCTGGCAAATTAAATAAAGTTTACGATGACACATAGATATTCCGATAAGTATGATAAAATTCTGAATATTCCATGGGGAATTCTTGAAAAATAATAAAAATTAATGAAAAATGTCACAATTTTGAGCCACATTTGATGTATCAAGCTTCTACTGGGCTGAGATGCAAGGCAGTATTAACCTTCAAGTTATTAAAGCTTTATCTCCCCAAAATGTAGCATGTCTGCAAGTACGGGAAAGGTAATGCAAATGAAATGAAATGATACGTAAAGATGAATGTAACAGGATTTTCAGAATAAAAAAAAAGAAAAACCATGAACAATTTTAATCGTTAAACTTACTAGTTAGCTAGGAAAAAAAATTAATTTTCTTTAGGCTCTGATGGTATTTGAAGTTGCAGTGTAAGGGAAGCATTTGAGAAATTAATTATTTTAAAATTTATCCTCATACTTAACGCTGGAATTTAGAAAAAGAGTCAAAACTTATTTACTGTACAGTTGTGTTTGACATATCCTAACAAAGCAGTGAGTAGGGGATGGACAATACAGCGGCCGCAATCCGGTAAAAAGGAATTAGGAGGATATTAATTGTTAAAAGTAAGTTCTAAAACCGTAAGAACGCAAGAGGTAACTGTGCTGTGCTACGTGGGATTGCTGGCTATTAAAAAAATAAATTAATCTACAAGAGTATCGCACATTGTCCAAATTGATATACGCTGTCATTCATGATACAACTCAGGACACGAGCACAAGAGTGAAAGATTTTTCTAGGCCAGAATTAATGCCTCATCAACGATTCAAAATGATGATTCTATCACAAGACAAGATGACACTGAGAAGTTATAAAAGAATCTTGATTGAATTTTGACAGATCAGTAAGTACATAGTTACCATGGACAAATGACCTTGATTGATATTTTAATTAGAAGCACGAAAATAAACTTTTCAACCAAAAAGTGGCACAGAGGAGTGTAATAAAATAAAGTATTCAATTTAAATTAATTAAAAATATGGCTAACAATTTACTAGAATGCTTTACAATTACCTTAATTACAACGGATTGCACACTGCTCACAAAGTATCATTTAAAAAAAAGTAATAAAAAAAGGAGAAAAAAATAAACAGATAAATAAATGAATACATTAGCCAATAAGTATTCAATGGAAAAAAAATTAGAATAATTATTCACTGTTTTCAGAGACAGTTGGAAAATTTCAGAGGCTGAGAAGACAAAGAAAAAAATAAAATAAAAAAAAGTGAAAATAAATAGATTCATAAATTTAAAAAAAAAATAAATAAAATTATTTATAAAAATAATAACAAAATCACAAGAACATAGCTTCTCCTGCCACCATAAAATAAGGGAGAAAGAAAATTAACGTAACAAATAAATTAACAATAAACATAGCACAAGGTAGGGCAGGAGAAGGAAAATAATTGAATTAAATAATCGCTAATCACAGTCTTTGATTGTAAGTTCAACATTACTCGAACTGGTACTGATGTGAACAAACAAACTTAAGGATTAAAACCGAATGAATGAGTCAGATCTTTAAAACTGAGCAAGGCTTTGTCTTCATGGACCCACGGAAAGGATCGACTTAAAAAAGAAAGTTTCCAGAAGGTCTGGACTATCAATTTGATTAACAAGTGTTTTGAAAGATAATGATGCATTTTAACTTCAGCTTTTCACAAAATATTCTAAAAAATCTAAAAAGTTACCTATAGTCAAGAGATTGGTGGTTAATGCAATCCTATGAGTTTTAGGAGCAAATGAATTAAATGAAGAATGAAGCAAAAGGTAGCTTCACAGACTTAAAAAAAATTTCTTTCCTCTCACTAGAGGTAAAATTGATTTGAATTTTTCACAACATATCTGTTACTAGCATTAATGCCCGACTTAAAGATTCCAATTTCAAATGGTAAATTTAAATGCGAGTTAAATCGTAAATGAGATATCTGATGAACTGTTGGCTAGGCTGAAGTCCAACCTTCTGCATGGACCTTTCTTAAGATGCGTACCTTGAACATTCAGACGATGACCATTTACTGATAATTCAATGAGCTGGTATGACGTGACAATATTTTAAATCCATGACTTATTCATTCTGTTTTAATCAAATTAGTTTCACTGTTTTTTTACTTCTGATGGTTCGGTTTTAAGAGTCGTTGAGGAGAGTTTAATACACTTGCCAGTCAGCTGGTTAACACTCAATGGGTTATTGATATCGTGAGGATTCGTTCCAACTGGATTCCTAGGTGGTTGAATGCCTGTGTGATGATTCGATAGGAGAGGTAGACACGGCACTGAGGGCTTGCAATCCATCATATCGAGAGTGTGAGGCGTTAATGGACTTTGCAAACTCATGTAAGGACTTGCTAAGCTCACTGAGGGACTTGTGTTGCTTGCCGATGGACTTGGTAATATCATGGATGGACTGGTGAGGCTTGAAAGGCCGCTCAGGCCTCCTGGACTGGAAGCTGAGTGATGAAACGATTCGGTATCATCTTCAGGTGGCGTTTGAGCTTCACCTACACTTCCGCAACTTCCCAAATTATCTTCTGACTGGTTCCCATCTTCTCCACAACCCATGTACCTTATACATTTCTTTTTACGTCTGAAAAAGGAAAGAAACAGGATCAGTTAGTAAAGATGATTTGAAGTACTGCTCCTTCCATTTATCTAGATACCGTTATATTTCCATCATAATTTGGTTATCTCTATGTGATGCATGTACACTATTCTTTTACAGTTGCCAAATTTTCAAGGACAGAGATTTCAGAATAAGTTTCAAATTTTAAGACTGGATAAAAATGATCGTATCACAAATGAAACTTTCCAACTAGGTTACTTTCAGAGAGAGCTTTTTCTCAGAGCTGATGCTGAGATATATACCCACCAATGTTGCTTGAGAAAGCACAGTAGTGAACAAATATGTTTGATTGGATATAATAATTCAAAGTAAACAGCTAGTGCTGAAGTTTAGAGGAAAGCAAATTATGAATAACTGAAGTAGTTAGAGCTCTTCAGGTAATGCAAGATGTAATTTCCGAGTTCCACTTAGGTTTTACATGAAGTTTGTTCTGTCTCTTTCACTCTTGCTTTTCAAGAGAGATAAGGGCTGGATTCAGAAAAGGGCAGAGACATGAAATGCATCGTTGAATTGTGTACTGACTCTCGGAATACAGGTTACTGATTATTTTCATTAGTTGAAAATACCTTTCAATGAACAATTATGATAACTACTAAAATATCTAGACTTTGTGTCAACTTCTTTCACCTGTTTGTTGAAAGACTAAGAGTTTAACATTTTTTCTTTTCTTTATTTGATTACTCAAGTTCTTGCCTACAGACGGAAAGTAAACATAATAAGTAGGTACTGCTAAATTTCATCGTCCATTTGCAAGCAAGCACATCCCAGCCTTTTCCGACATTGTCTTGAAGGTGATAGAATCAGAGCTCACTACCTTTAGGATCTTGATTACACTCTCTGCCACAACTCATCAGAGGCAATGGGTCACTAAACCATGAACGAATTTTGACTTGCGAATATAGTTTTCTGAAGGAGAATGACGCGTATAACACGATGCGAACATTAAAAACGCGAACAAGTAACTCAATTACCGAGAAATGCGCAGTTCAAATCGCTCAACTTATACGCAAATTTAAAACGCCCCGGTTTCGCGCCGCACCAAATGATGTCATCCGGCACCAATCAGAGGCGGGCACGGGTTTCCATGACGTCGGTCAAATGTCTATCTACTCTTCGTATATAGGAACAATACTGAAGTCGAAATTATATCTTTTTAATTCAAGACTAGAATCTCATTCATATGTTAGCTGTAATAAACAAGCAACAACTCCACATTGAAATACGTTTTATTTTAACAAACATCAGAGGAAAATGAGAGAAGATTGCGATATGACTACCGCAGTACATCAACCACGTCAGTTTCCCGCCATTCGGGTGCGTTTGAAATGTCTTGCAGTTTTTAGATTTTTCAAAAGCGGTTTTCTCCGCGATTTTGGCTCCATGAAAATGCGGAAAAATCACCTTGTTATCTCCTCACATAGTACTTTTGGAATATTGAATAAAATAAACAAGGTTTAGTGACCCATAATACAAAAACTTATCATTGCAACCTAATCATTCCAAGATTTAGTGTGAAGGACTCTTGAGAGGTATAATTCTGCACAAAGATATTTTTAACTTTTTTTCGTTGATGAAAAATGAGTACAAGAGCCAAAGGAAACTATTTTTCAAAGGAAAACAATGTGCCTGACAGTGCACTAAAATTATCAAATACCAAAGCTCCACTAAAGGCATGCAATTTATCATTCTAGCAATATGATAATATACCATTTTTATACTTACAGGATCGACAAATGGGTGCTGTTACTTACTTAACTGGGTTGAATAAAAAAAAATGAGAAGACTAGTAAGAGGGAAAAATTATAGAAAAACATAATCCAAGACACCAATTAAAGTGTTAGGAATTCTTAGAAAAGGAAAAAGTGTATTATGAGAGAGGGAAAACTCTTTGCATAAGAAAAATCATGCAGAATAGTGTAGAAAAAAAGAGAAAAAGTGAGGGGACAAAATAAAACAATTTAAAAAAAAATTATAATAAATGAAAAACCTGATCTATGTTAATGAAAGACCTCCCTACAGTTTTGAGGAATATCATCAATACATACTGATAACAGATGTCAACATTTTACTACGGATCTTTGAGGAAAATTTCTTACGCTAAAGTGAATGAAATGAAATTATTGGATAATCTCTCTAGACAGAGCGGATGAAATGCTTGTGCCTGACAGTTATTAATTCATTTTACAACTTTCCAACTGCAAACCTATTACCACAGCAAATAAGTGACAGAGCCCACGAACATCTGCTACCTATTTTCATGTTACATATCTTAGGAAAGGTGTAAAACACAATGATTTGCTAAGAGGTTGAAATTTCATGTAATTTTGAGTGAGATGGATTTTTCTCATGGACAAAAGGATGAATATGCATACAAGGATACTAAATATAAGCAATAAAGTGGGCAGACATCCTATCTCATTTTTGAGGAGGCTGTTAACTGATTGTGAGACACCTAAATAAATTAACTGTGATGATTTTCTCCGATTAGTTTTTTGGTTGAGACTGAAATGCGACTTGGATGGTCATGACTGCAATGCATTCTTGTCTTGACTGCGCCGCTTCAATTCTTGAGGAGAGAATCATACCTGCACTTGCTTCAATGTCAGAGAAATGTCTGAACTATTTAGGTCAATGGCAATTCAAAAAATTATGTTGACTTCCACTCTGTTCACCAGAGAGGCTCATGAACACGAACATGGAAGGCAAAATATGTAAACATGATATTCTGCCCACAACAGGGACAAAGTACATACTTTTATAAATAGGCGACAGCGTTCGAATCTTTTAAAAAAACTGACCAATATTTTCCTTCTCTCAAAAGTTTAAATTTTTTTTTCCAATTTTTGGAAAAGTACAGTGGATACATTTAGTATTTTTGATGCTCAAGAAAGTAATGGAGGAATGAGTTAGTTTGTTTTCGGTACCTTTTCATTACAATATCTGCGCAACCTTTTGAATAAATTCTAGATAATGACATATATCTGACCAACTAATTATCTAATTCAAATTTGAAATGAAAAGTCAAAATTTAAGTCCTTTTTAAACAACAAAAAAACGACAGTTCAGCAAGAATTTTTAAATTAGACTAAGCAGAGTATATTTAAAATGTGTAAAACATTTGATCTGACCAAGATGGAGCTCTTGCTCAGAAATAGGAATAGGATCATATAGAAGATTTCAAAACTTGGATCTTCGTCAACAGGAATCACTACCTTGCAACTGGCATTTAAGCGCAATTCAAACAGGTTTGATAGAGTGCTGTGAATTCTTTTCAACAAACGGCCATTCTAGATGTTTTTACAAACTGTAAGTACTTATGAACCAGTAATGAGTATTTCACACTCAAACAACTTTGAAAAAATAATACTGAAAGCTACCAGACATTGGATGCGCCTAAGGACAAAAGTTCAAGAGAGAGAAATATTGCTCAAGAGTACCACAGTGCGACAAACAAAGGAACGACAAAGAAAAAGATGTTGAATCGCGGTGTTCCAAAACAATCATACATTCATTACTGCCTAGCTCAGATTTAAAGATAGAGGAAACAAAAAAGAAATGTATACATGTGGTGCGATGAAATCTGCTCTGATCTATTTCTGTCTTAGGGCAATTTTATTCACAGTAAAGTGGAGAATCCAGCTACTTGTAACCACACACGGAACTAGCCAAGAGAGTTGATCAGAAGTTGTGAAATTTGAGACATGGGGCTGATATTGGTACTTCACCAAAGGATGAAAAAAAATCATTATAGCGACAGCCGGGGGACTATAAGAGAATAAATAAAACAAAAGCAAGATTTTTTGAAACATTCCATCAGCTGCCATCCCAATTATTCCATTCAAGATGAATCCTCATTAGATATTTGATCATCTTAACACCTATTTTATGAAAAAATATGCATGCCTCCTTAAAATTGTTCCTTAAAAATCAACCGAGGAAGGATCAAAAATGGTTAAGTAATACTAATAGATTAGGAAAAGCAAAACTATAACTAAGTATCTATTCAACTATGGGACTGCAAAAGGGACTGTTCACAATCAAAATTAGAGATAATCTAGGAAACAAACGGACAAACAAACTTTGGTGAAAAGAAAGAGAACACAACAAAATAAAACGAAAGAAAAAAATAGAACGACAGTAACAACAACAATAACAACAACAGCAACAACAACAAAAACAACTGAGATAGGCAGGAGACTCACACAGCAGAGCTGCTGTAGGCGAATTCTAGAGATTTACATATGTCGGTTCTTGCGGTGAAGCAGTATTGGAGGGGCCATTCCCATGGTATCCCATATTTAACCCACCACCTTCCGAGGGGCTAAAAACCACCAGTCAATATTAAGTTAACAAGAAAGATTAAGAAAAATCAAATGATAAACAATTCAATCAGAATATACCATGTTGCAACATTAATAGGAAATTAATGTTTAGTAATGAGTGACACTGATGGGTGGAAACCAAGAAACCATGTTTTCGAAATTCAACTTTAAAGATCATCTGGGCTGCAAACCTCTCTAGCAGCATTTAGATGTTCAGAAGAGGTGATGTGAAAAAATATAGAAATTATCATCGGGACAAGATGAACAAAAATATGTTGCTGGATGATTTCCGGCTGAATTTTCATTGATTTGCCATGATACAGAACTAATGCGGGGCAGAACAATTTGAAAGCCAAGGCCAGAAGTAAACTAGGAGAAATAATAGGAATATTTCTTGGGGAATATATTCGACAAAGTTACAAAATCTTGACATCATGCTCGTTTAAAACTATAGTTCTCCATTATTAAATTAATCAATTGATGCCTTAGTTTTGGGGGGAATTATTTTTTTTTTTAAATTATTTGCCGTTCTCTACCAGGATCACATCTTTAGGGGGCTAATCTGGTTTAAGTTTTGACCTTCAATAAAATGTGGCTCATAGACATAAAGAAGAATTGAAATTTATCTGAATTTGATGCCAAAGACATCCACTGAGCATTTTATTTCCACTAACTGAGGAGCTACTACTGAAAGGGCATCTGACAAAATAATTTATCAAAAAAATTTTGGCCAGTTCCTTTTGTTTCCAGGCCACTATGAAGAACATTTGCTTGTTCCTTTTTTTTGAAATTTAGAGAGGAAGGTTTTTCAGATTAAAATGAAATCATTGGTATCTTCCATACTTCTACTAGATGTGCAGGAATATTTTGAAGTTTAAAGATTCCAAGAAATGGTGATTCCTTTCTTGAAGCAACAGGGAATAGACAGACATTTGAAGTCAATAGGATATAAAAGAGGTACATTGTGATTGAATTACAAAAGAGACATCAAATAATTGTACATTTTCGGTGGAAACAAATTTCAGAAAATGTGTCTAAGTTAATTCAAAACTACAAAATCTACAGAGCAAATAATCAGACAAAAGTAAATTAAAATAATTTGAGAGTAACTTCAAATGAAGAACTCACTTTATATCTCTCTTGTTTCACTAGTAATATTGACTGACCGTTTTCTTTTATTTTCGCCCCATTATTATAGCTATGCTTCTTTTTTGTTAAAGTTTACTTAAAAACAGAAAAATCATTAAAGCAATGAAAAAAAAAAATGAATGAACAAATGAGAAAAAAATAAATAAAATAGGGTGAACTAAATACTTTGAGTACTTTTAAGATAGATGCAAGTTTGTTAGATCATTTCACAACTCTTTGTGGGAAGACACATTTTCTGAAATTTATCAAAAGAACAAAATACAAAACATCGATTGCAGTATTGAGCATGGGATGAGAAACCGTGCAATTCCAGTAATGCGCATACGTAAACTGAAATGCACTTGTGTTATCGGGAGACAAGAGAGTAAGTTGGTCCACTTCTCAAAGATTAAAGTTTGTATTCATTGTAATAAAGATAATATTCTCTCATCTCTTCGTTTTACTTTCCTTGAACAAGTTATAAAGGAAGAAAACCAAACATTTAAAACAGAGAATCTGTTATAAAATTAGTTATTAATAGAATATATATAATTTAAAATTACAACACATAAATAAAATTAAGATATTAAATTAAAAAATTAATAAATTCAAGTGAAGAAAAAAAATTAAAAATAAAATGTAAAATATAGAACAAAAAACCTGATAAATAAGTCTTTCCACATAGAGCAGAATACATCAATAAAAAAAAAGGAATGATTCTTAAAGGAGAAATGAAGTTATAGTAAAGAGAAATAATATAAATGATGTGAAATGAAATAGATTATGATCATTGTCAGCTACTCAATTGAAGGACAAAACTAGAACTAAACAAGGGAAAGCAAATAAATTAAAAGAATAATTAAAATAAAAAATCAAAAGTGAATAGAAAATAATGAAGCATAAGTGCCTAAGCATTTTTCGATAAATAGCCTTGCAAATGGGATTGGAAAAATGACACTGGTTGAAATTCAAAGGAAAATATCAGGGGCGAATAAAATTGCCTGCCATCAGAGACATCCTTGAGCCAAAAAGTGTAACAGCAAGTGATACCACAGTACCCAAACTTTTGCCCCTGAGAATGTTATGATGTAATGATTAGGTTAGAGGACTACTATTGCTGATAACTTTTCTCTTAAGAGCGTATTTTGATAGGACTAGGCTGATATGATGTGATGCCTCGGGTAAAAAATTTGCTAGAATCTCAGTAAAATAACAGAAAAATTGATTAAGCACGCTCTGCTTTGGGTTGGGTTTAATCTGCCTTATCTTTGTTGATCTTTCATAAACATTTATTTGCTTACGACTTGCTAAGTCTTTCTTCACCTCTGAATGAATATCAATATGTCTATTTCAGATATTTGAAAAAAAATGAAATTGACTAATCCTCAATATAGGAGCAATGAAAAGGTGTTGGGAGTACTCAGGTTAATAGGTGAAACTATACAGAATCTGAAACTACATTCTGCGTTAGTGTCCAAACCACAAGTGACCATCTCCAAAGGTGCAACTTAGATGAACTGAATGAGATGAAGACCAGGATCAAAATAAGAGGATGACTAATCCAACCAAAAATAAAATAATATTTCATGCATTGTACAGGAGGTGAAAATAAAAAGCAAAACACTACAGAATCGACCCTTACCTGCATGGTTTACACCACTGACTTTGTTGATCTAATCCATACCTCGCTCGGCACTTTTTCATACTGTTACCTGTTGAAAAATAAGATGTCACTTGAGTTACATGATTCATTATTAGGCACAAAGGATACTATTGTTCGTATGAAAGAGGTTCTAAAAGTAGGAAAGCTATCGTTTCAAGACTTAGCCGTATCATTAAAAAATGTTATACTTTTCATAAAAAATTGTCATCTTGATTAAAAATTATTAATTTAGGTAATAAATCAATGGATAGGGAATTAAATAATCAAATATGCCTTCCATGAAAGAAATAAAAAAAAGGTAAAAAAGAGGGATTGAGAATTCTTAATCCGCAAATATTTCAGCAAGATATTAGGCTAATCAGTGGGATTTCTTCTAATTTGGCATGATGACAGACTTTCAGATGAAAATTCAGGGATAGAAAATATTGATCTCCAAAGCAGGAGAAATTTACGATTCATGGAAGAAAAAAAATAACAATTGGTTTTCAGGGTGATTCTCAGGATGAAGTAGAAAGTAGGTGGCAAAATCTACGAAAGCTGTCTTTTTCTGAAAATCTTCGAAACTTATTACAGCAACTGCGCATAAATTTCATGATGGCATGGTGGTTTTTGCAGCTTGTGCGAACTGAGTATTGATCTCAACTAGTAACAGACGTTGTTGCGCACAATAGTAAAATTAGTGAGGAAAAAATCTGATTTGTTGAAGTCAAGTTTCTTGACAAGAAATTTTGACTATATATACGTATTTTTTTTAAAATCAATGAGTGAGAGCTTCTACTGAAACTGCTCTGCAATAAAAAAAGAAAAGAAAAAAAGCAAAAAAAAACTAACTATAAGTTTCTGAAAGCGATACTGTTCACTTTTCGGGTTCAGATTGTAATAATTTTTTTTCAGGAAAGAACTGCGTGCTTGGAGGAATAAGGAAAAATTGACGAAGAATATAGGCAAGTTAAGCAGTACATTACGAGAGAGAGAGAGAGGGGGGGGGAGGATAGAGAGAGAGAAAAAGAGCAGAGAAGGTACCAAACAAGGAGTCATTGAAACCAGAGAAGAAGGATGAAGAAGAAAAAAAAAATTGTGGCATGGTTTTGAGAAAAGCTAACCTCCATCGTTAGTTTCTTGTCGGCGTTTCCTCTTCTTGCCGCGGGTAGTGTTGGAGCGAGAAGACCAATCAGGGTAGAGTTGCATGTGCAACTGCCGCTCTCGCCGTGCAAGTTCATAATACTTTGCTTGTTCTTCGCGCCCTAACGCATGCCACTAAAAAACACATCAATCCTCTTCTTTAGATCCCCATGTTCAAATACTATGTTCAAATACTTTAGGACTACTTCATTAAAATCAGTGGTTTGAAAGCAAGAATCAACGGAAGAAAGACCGAAAGGAATACTTTTCACACATGAAATAATTGAGTTAGTGAGACAACCAATTATAACCAATATACTAAAGTTTCCGAGGAGTAGAAACATTCTTGTTGAATTTTTTGTCTTCCAGTGCTAGAAAAACAACCAGGACTCAGATGCTCAAATAAACCGCGGGATAAGTTATCGGAAAAAAGAATTGACAATGAAAGATTTTTCCCTATAATTCAAGAGTAATTGATTATTTAACGCGGCTAGAATGGTTGGAGCTATTTTTGGGGCATGTTACCTGTGAGCCTACGATACTAAGTCTGAAGTAAGTGATTATTCATTTAAAAAAGCAACATCTAAAAACTTTTTGTTAGCTGAGCTAGAATGGATTAAGTTCAAGAGCGGACACAAAATCGGCACCCTGTAACCTAGTGACTAACCATGCCACAATGAGAGGGTTTTACGCTTGTGACTTTCAGAATCTTCTCAAGAGTCAAAGAGAGAAAGAGAGAGCTAGTTATATATTTTGTAAACTCAAAAAACAAAAAAGGCATATCACACAAACCAAGTTTTGGTGTCACATGGAAAGGAGGGACTTATTGCACGCAGTTGAGGAAAAAATGAGAGGAGAGGTATCGAACAAAATAAAAGGAAAGAAGACAGAAAAGTGGACTTTCAAGGCAGGATAACGGTATCAATGAATTTCTAAAAGACTTGAACCCGAAAATTAACAAAAAGCACAAAAGCAACTTATCCAACAAAAACTGCCAGGACGAAATAAAGTTGACTTTAGAAAAAAAATTCATTTGGAATATTGTGACACAAAAACTAATTTTCTGGGTTTTTTTTTTCTTTTAAAAAAATTTCTTCGGCTCTTTTGTAGGCATAGGAACAAAATGATTTAATGGTGACTGCTATGCAACATTATCTAGGTTTTTCAGCATTTTAAGTTTGGCTATTGAAGAAAAGAATAAATCGTTCTAAAATATGTTATCAGCCTCAAAACTTTATGTCCACATTCATAAGCTAAAAAACAGAAAGGTTCAGAGATGAATGCTTTTTTTTTAATTTAATAAAAAAAATAAAAATTGAACACTTATTGAGCATGTAAATTTCTAAGAACTCAGGATGAATTTTCAAGTTGAAGAAGGCATTGAGAATGCCGTTATATCTGAGTTAGCTGAATGCATTATGACATACGGATTAACACAATTTCTGAACAAAAAACATAAAGTTATCAGTATCAAAATAATCTTCAAAATGGGAAAATGTATGAGGTTTTCAGAGACTGAAGGCAGGAAGAGGCAACAGTGATTCAAAAAGAATACAAGGAAATCAAATTATGAGATGTAAACTGGTGAAAATACATCAAACACAGCTACAAAGCCTTTGCAAATTTGAGGAGTATGGAGGTAAAGCTAAGGGATCTGTAATCCAATTGAAAATGTTGATAGAATTTTTCGATCATTGTTATAAGAAAATCTTTAGGTATGCATGAGGATTAGTGATGATATGTAGTAACAAGAAGATTTTGACCTGATAAAATTGACTACATGATGGAGGTAATCAGGGGGTTCCCTCAGGAACAGACTACCACAATGAGTAAAATCTGAGTTTAGAATGATAGCTTGCTGATAAAATGAGGAAGGGATGTAAATTGATATTCATTAAAGAAGGCAATGATGGAAGCAAGAGAGAAAATACTGATGATGTGTAACTGCAACATATCAACAAAGAATAACTTTTTATCATTTGCAGGAAAAAGGGACACCGAGATAAGCAGAAAAGAGACTTCCGTAAATTTGAGAAGATAGAGTTCCTGCCGTAAATCGTGTTTGAGTTCTTAGAAATTTACCTGAAAAGAAAAACTGGTCAATGGACTTAACCCGTATTGAGAAAGAGAGTTTCAAGAAATAAAAGTTTGCGAGGTTAGAGAAATTAAATTTAAAAAGGTTGGGTGTATGTATTTATTATTCTTTTCTTTTTGGAGGCATGAGGCTGGTGAGGGGTTCTCAAGTCAACAGAAATTTGAGTCCTGGCATGTTTTTTCTAGCACAACTACTCAAGACAATCAGTACGAAGGAGGTGGGAGGGATACCTCCAGAATCGATGATCGGTACTCGCTCTTTCTTCCGTTTCTTCTTCTTTGCACCATAACCGTAGTTATCTCTGGCCGACCAACCAGGATACAATTCCATGTGTAGTTGTCTTTCTTGTCGAGCTTTTTCATAGTATTTTGCTTGTTCTTCTCGTGATAGAGAATGCCACTGTTTAGCAAACCATGAAAAAATCATAGATATATTTGTTAGGTAAGCTTTAATCAAGGATACAAATAATTAGCAACTGAATAACCCATTGAATCTTACGAGTTTAGTGTGCAGCCCATATATGTTTAGTTTCTGTAGTTTTTTCATTACAAAAGGGACTTTGGCACTAGATTTTATTTGATGATATTTTATTGGTTTGATTGACATAACAGAGACTTGAATTAAGGTTATGTACAGACACAACAAGAGCAGGAGAGTCAATGAATGAAATAAATCTAGCATAACTTAAAACTTACCGAATTCGTCACGTGAATGAAACGAAAAATTATTAAAATAAGGGGTAAATGTGGGTTTATCTGTACCTCCTCCTTTAAGCTTCAAAGGTAAGACAGGAATGAATTGATTCATTTTTCAGTCAATGGTATAATTTTTATCTGAACTTATTCTAAAATGATTGAAGGAGTTGTAAATTACTATTCATTATTTCTGAGAGTAAATACAATTTTTTTGCGTTCATATCTAATGTTATTGAAAATTTTTGAAATAAATTGTTTTACACAGAGTGACTCCGTCATGAATATGTATGAATCATCACCAAAAGGAGCATGTAATGAAATGAAAAATCTTACTCACCCGTCGGCCTAAAATTTGATTGATGGCTGCACTTTCTTTCAAAGTGCATTCTGCTACTACCTTAGCACGCATTTCTTTCATGTATAACATGAATGCATTTAAAGGTTTTTTAATATGAGGTTTTTTCTTATCTGTTGAAAAACAAAAGAAAACGAGGGTCAGTTTTGACTTGGAGCAACTATGGATAGAAATTTGAGAGAAGAGAGACAGATAACTGCTATTATTCAGGTAATATAATGCAGTAGATGAAATCATACAAGCACATTAAAAATATAGAGACAAACGATGGGCAGGAAAAAAAGAGAATCACTTCAAGACTTAGGTTAACATTTTGCTAGGGAGATTTTTGCATGATTGATTTGGTTAAAAATTTTAAGTATTTTTAACCTTTGAGGAAAATATAAAAAATCAACTACTAATCGTGAAACTACTGACAGATTCAGAAATTTTGAATTCTACCAGAATATAATTTTCAAGATTTCATGCGAAGTGGATTTGCAAAAAAATAGAAAGGAAGTCCGAAGATCATATCTGGAAATTTTGAAGAATATTTTCATTTCATTTCAAGCAAGTTGACTTGGTAAGAATAATAAATACCATTCATCTGTGGGTTGAAATTGATTGTTTCAAACATTTGAAATTGATTGTTTCAAACACTTGAAATTGATTGTTTCAAACACTCTCAAGAAAAGCACAATAGAGCTATCTGTGATCAAGAATAGTAGTATACGTGAAATACATTTCTTTCAAAAAGTAAATCTTTTCCTCATAAGAATGAGAAAATCAAGTGTGGTGTTGATAGAGGAAGTAATATAAGAGAAACGGTAGATGTCACGCTTAAAAGAGGGAATTGAAGTATACGAACCTTGATTACTATTATTGTGTCCAGAATCCTGAGATTTTGAGCCATCGTTCACAGATGAGGAGTTTTTGTGATGGTCTAACGATGACGACCTGTAAAAATAAATAATGCTTAAGAGTCAAGATAAAAATGATGGCAAATAAACATAATTAACCAATACCAGATTAGAACAGATGTGAGAGGAGGAAAAATGTTTGGCTCATTACCTTTTAAATTTAGATTTTTTTCTTGCAACATTATGGCTTGAATGGAGAGCGGCTAGTTCAGCTTTTTTGACTGACTGAGATAAAGTATCTACATTTGGCACATTAATTGACAAAGCTTCACTGAATTGTTTAGCACGGTTGTCGTTCAGTTTGTCTTGCGTTTCTTGCCATTTCAAGAGATGCCAGAATCTTTGGTACGCTAAAAAATTAGTCAGACTACTTGTTTCGCTGCTGTAATCCATCGGGAAAAGTTGCAGCTTCATAAATTCATTATAAATTGGATTAGATTGGACGAGGTGGTTTGGCATGATCAGATTTGTATTGGTATTATCCATGAACCAATTACTGCTAGACGAAGTGCTGCTAGGGTCTGCATTGCTAGAGCTCGTGATCGTTGAACCGGTGCTAGTTTGAGTACAATATTCTTCGTTTATTTTACGTCCGTTAATGGTGTTGTAGATGTTATTGTTGACGTAAAAGTTACTCAACGGGGTGGAGCTTTTAAGCATGGCTTCGAGAACACTGGGCTGAGATGTTTCCTTTTTTTGAGGCGATTCGTTGAGCAAGCTCTCGGCCGAAAAATTTATGTGCTTATTACTACTTTTATCACTAGGTACATCTTGATCCACATTCGAGGAGGGTGCAACTATTGCAATTGGCTTCCTCTTCTTCCTTACGACCAGATCAAGTGGTTCATCATCGTTATTCTCCATGATTACTTGTTCCATACTGATTATGCACATAAAAAACTAACTGCTGCTTTCTATTTCGAAAATGAGTAATACCACGTAAGTGGTCGAGATTTCCTATTTCGCGGATTTGAAAACTCGGATCGACCTCAGTAGATGCCAAAGTTCATGCCTCATCGTACAACGAGTAGACAAATGAAATTAAAACGATTCACAAAAGCATATTCGAAGGAAACCGACGAATTAATGAGCAAAAAAATCGAAGATGAAAACTGGGATTGTCGCTGAGGAAATGAGAGAAGCTCCGAATGGCATAGTAAAACTTGAAACTATTCAAAAAGGAAGAAAAACAGGTTATCACAGATACAAGGGTTGAGAAACGGGGAAAAAGGGAGTCGAGACGAGATAACGGCGAAATATTCACGTTACGCGGTAGATCCAAAACCAAAATTGAGTGAAATTGAACGGGAAGCCGAACTCATAGACGCGACGGGGCTCGGGGGGCTCAATCGGGACGGAGAGCCAGCGAATTGTCATACTTGAACCCCAGACATTCAACAAGGTTAGATATGAGAGGGTGGGGGTACGAAACAACATCAAAACAAAGAATTTATCATTGTTCTGCTACAAATAACTCATTGCGTCGAAGCAGTAAGTCGAAAGCCTTCTCGATACGCTCCTTCGATATCCGACCAGCCGCACTTGGCCGCCCGGCGATCCGCCGTGGATTCTCACGCGGAAACTCCTTCAAATCTTTCCGACGCAACAGGCACGACAATGTAGAGGATATTACCCACCGAACACGCCAGAAAAAACCCAGGGGAAGCGGACGAACGCGGTAAAGGTGCGACGACCATCGAGATCCCGCCAAAAGGGTCGTAGCCGCCGCGGGTGTATCGAAACGCCGGGAACATTATGCAAACGAATAAAATATATACCAGGGTCTCTAAAGTATGGACGTCAATAAGTGATGAAAGGAGAAATTGAACTGCGTGTGTCAAGAGGAGGCGATAGCTCGAGCATGACTCAAAATCAAGTCCAGCTTCTTTCGCTTGCGTATGGAAGCCTTCCGAAAACAGAGCATTTTCGGATCGAAGAGTTGTTCTGTCAGAGGATTTAATCTGCCGATCAACGGATCAATCGTAAAAATGTCTGGGGTGTGGACGCGGGCTTGACTAATAATTCACAGCTTGGTGCACTTCGGGTACAATATGATGTACAATTTGTATCGATTTTAATAGCGAGAAGATATGTACGCTTTTGTCATGGCTTGCGCAGTGGTCCTGTGAAATACGAGGGGTGATATCCCCTCAACGCTATCTTCCGCGAGATGACGAAAGCCCTACTTCGAAGCGCCCTCGCTAGAATGCGTTACAATGCAGAAAAGCTGAAGCTGGTGAAGGGAGCAGAGTAAGGCTCTTCAAAGCGCTGCATCATGGGAGATTTGGGCGCTTGTCACTGGAAAAATTATGAAAACTAGGGGGTTCGTAGCCCCACCCATAGAGATTCGTGTCACTGGTCACTGTTAGCCTGATGAGAATTATCGAGAAAGATAAAGAAATGCAATTCGGCAAAAAAATTTAAAACACGATGACTTGAGTATGGCTTTGAGGATTGAACAGTTAGACTAAATTTTCCGATTAAAAACCAATATTTTAGGCTCTCGGCATATTCAGGTGAAGTGGAATAAGTCCCAGTCTTTCTATCCATCAAAAAAATTACCTTGAGTAATACGATTTTCAGTTTAAAATTTACTTCGTCATTTTCCATCACCCCCTTCGAGATTGGAATCATCCGAGAACACCCCGTATAACTTCCTCTAGACTCCTCAGTTAACGGAGAAGCAACATTATGAACAAAACAGCGCGATATATACTTTCGATGCCACTCTCGAAGACAAACTCGGCATTTGAATAATGCGCGGAGCGGAAAACGATAGAAGAATATTCGGAGTTAGGTTCGAGCCCAACATACAACTATTTGAACTCCGCGGTGGGCCGGGTTGCATACGCTAGATTTTGCAGGCGAAATGGAGCGTAGAACAGCGGAAGAATATTCGGAGTTAGGTTCGAACCCAACATACAACCATTTGAACTCCGCGGTGGGCCGGGTTGCATACGCTAGATTTTGCGGGCGAAATCTGAGCGTTGCCCACGGCTCTGGCGATAGGGTACGGAATTTGTGCATGGTGTCTAGAATTCTTGACCGCACTTATTCCCTGATGTCAGGAGCTCATTTGCTGACGAAACCCAAAGTTTTTACCCACATCTCCCGGATTTTCTTGAGAAAAACTATAACATTTTCCAGAGTTCCAGAAACGAAAATCGATTCTTTCAGCCGATTCTTCGGCGCACATTAGAATTCTTAATTCCAAAAGCATTTTTAGTGTTTATATCATACGGCTAATGAAAGCTTCTCTGTTATTCTGACGATTTGAAGATTTAAGAGGTCAATAACGGCGGCTCGGGTGCAATTTCTTGAACCTTAAATTGGACCGAGTTTCACAGAAAGGAACCAAGCCACATCAGCTGTTGCCAAAATTAACTGGGCAATTCAATTTTTCATGAAAGAACGTTTGTGCGGATTTCTGTGAAAATGATAAGGAATTTGCTTCGTACTATGGAGAAAATTCACTGAAAGCACGAAAATCCGCACTACCGTTTTCATGTAAAAAATTAAATTTCCCAATAAAATTTGGCAGTAGCCGATGTGGCTTGGTTCCTTTCTGTTTAACTCGGTCCAATTATCTGTAACCGGCAGAAGAAGAGATTGGTTTCTGGGTTAGGTTTCCTAATTTCTCAACGTTTTTCATTCCCTGCTGAATCTCGGTTTCGCACACCATGAACTACAACCAATTCCATCGGCGGGTAATTCGTTCGGGCTAACAAAACATACCAACGATCCGCGACTGCGCTCTTCGCTATTTTTAAAATTTGCGTACTTCAGATGTCACATAATCGCTTTACACAGCGACATTACTGCCGTGTTGAGGGAGAGCGCCGTATAAACATTCAAGAGTTGCCAAATTTCCTCGAGTAAAACATCTCTTTATGAGGAAAGTGTTACATGATTTCCTTGAAATTTTCTGATATCTTAGATTACATTGCGAACAAAATTGTCTGAAAATTTTGAAAAAAAAAAAAAATATTCACCATTTTCCCAATATTTTTGACTTTGATGGGGGAAATGTGGCAACATCTGGGGGCTCACACGGCGTTTTTCCTCAGCAAGGCAGATTAGCACCGTGGAAAGAGAGGAGGCGACGATAGAGAGAACGAAGGCTCAAAGGTTCTCATGACTCTCATGGTAGAGTTTCAGCTACAATGCTGCCGTGATAGCGAAGAGAGCAGTAAGTGCATGCTGGGATGAACCTCGAGACTCATAAAAGCACGTGCTAACCGTGGCTCATACGGAAATGCACTTACTGCTCTCTTCGCTATGACGGGAGAGTGAGGGCTCGGAAGCCAGATCGGACAAATGCCACCTACAGCCTCAAGTGGAATATAATATTTCACTATGCTATCGGGCGAATTGGACGCATTTTTGTCAAACGGACCTATGTACACTATGACGTGAGCCCTGGTATGCGTGTATTCTTATGGGTCTCAAGGCTCATATCATAATGCACATAGGTCCGTTCGATAGAAATACGTCCAATTTATTTCCGAGTGCGTTATCGTTTCAGATTATGCCACGACAGTGGGTGCGGCATGACACAGACGGACCGGAGTGGCGCGGGGGAAGGGCATTCTTGGTGACTCATTCGTGAGCAGTGAAATGAGGCATACGGGCAGACATGACATTAGAAATGGCGACAATTCGTCGCTTGGCTCACAGAAGGGCGTGACTACAATTTGAGATGAGCCCGGGAAAGTATTGAGTTATATGGAAAACAGGGCTCATCGTAGAGTGTTGTTGCGCCCTTATGTCAGGAGAGCGACAGTTGACCCAGACTCGGCATGAGAACAAAATCCCCATTCACAAGGAGAGGAAAAAATACGTAACGTCAAAATTCACTTCAGCTACTCGGTTACTTTTTGCGTTCTGTAAAAATTGAAGACATTGACTGACAGAGGAGCGATAGCTGGAGGGATTCCATGGCTCAAATTTTGGGTTTAAGAGACTTGATGTTTTATTGACTTTAATTACTCATCCGATCAAATGAGTTTGCATGGTTTTCATAATTTTTTCATTGTCTTATTCCCTCCTTTCCCCGATTTCTTCTAGCTTGTCCCTGCCTTCTCCCGACCTCTGAACAAAACTTCGACAGGGATTTTCTTTTCTATCCAAGTGCACTGACTTCTGCTAAACGCTTCTTCCGAAATTCTTTGGCTCTTCCTCTGAATTCTGTGACATTTCCAGATCGCCATGAATTCCCAGACGCTTCAGGTTTTGCAGACCGCAGGAAACCTTGGTTCAGACATAACGTCATACTTTTCCTTACATTTTTTGTGTGATTTTTTGACAGGATTCCCTCTCAATTTGAGAATAGACTGAAGACACACTTTTCCCTGAATTCATCCGAAGGATACTCATCTCAAATTTATAACCCAGCGTGAGTTTTTTAAAAAAAAAACTGGCAAAAAAACCTACATGAATACTCCCTGATCAGACTTTCAGTCAGCAAAAAAATTCCCGGGCTTTCCGCTTATCGTGGGAAAGTTTCCCAGGGAAACTCCCTGACTTCCCCAGAGTCAGAATTTTCCTCCTGCCAATACTAGCTTCAGCCGATCGTCGGGCACCCTGTACAGCGACCGAATCGTACTGCGATGGGATCAAAACCTCTCAAAAAAAGAATTACTGTCACCGGGAACAGCGTGAGTTCATAAAAACCGGGGCGGGTTTTCCCCCTTTTCTTTTATTTTTACGGGGGCGGTGTTGAGTAGGCCGGGACGATGATAGTAGCGTTGGAATTGCCTTTGATGCCGAGGGGCTCCACGGAGGAGGGAAAGGGCGAGGAGGTACCGGCCAATGAGAAATCGGAACATGACGGTGCCGTCATGTCACCGCGGCGCGAAGAAAAGGATTCGATAAAACTCCCTGGACATTGCAGCATTGTCATAGTTACCGGATGACCAATCCCTGCCCGCTGAGCGAGCGCAAAATATCTTCCATTCCACGTATCCACCGTTTTGGATTTTCCTCTTCCCACGTCCCGGCCCGGCGCACAGTGGATCCCAGTGGCGTGGCGTGAATTGCGATACATCGATTTTTATGTTATTTAAACCTACGGTGAAGAATCGATTATTGAGGTGTTCGCTGCAAACACCCTATTTATCGATCCTTTTCCATAGGTTTAAATGGCATAACAATCGATACATCGCAAATCACGCCACGTCACTGGTGGATCCAGTCAATCCGAGAGGTGGGACAAGAATTTTTGACTAACACTGCAAATTTTCATGTTTATACCGTCACATTTTACATTGTAAGGGATGCCTCTTGAAGAAAATTTTACGAGGAAACTAACAGGGTGTCTACCAGTTTTTAGAAACCATAATTGGGGACTTTCAGGGGTGATTTTTCAAGTAATCGGGGCCTTTTTCCCCCGAAATAGTAAGAGAAAGGGAGCTGGTTGGAGCGTTAAAAGGCGTATTTTATACGACTAATTTTACAAGTCATGTTGAACCGATGAAAACATTCGAAAAACGAAGCAACACTTCAGTTTTTTTATTACTGGTTATACAGCGCCACCGCGGCTGGCGGGATAATTGGAAAATGCCGGTGTTTAGGACGATTTTTGTCATTTTTTTAGGACCCGAACAAGAAACTCGGGGACTTTCGGGCATAATCGGGGATATTGGGGACGTTTGGGGACCGGTAGACACCTTGACCAATGGAACCACTTTAAGAACCTCCAAGTTTTGAATAAATGGAGTTATGAGCTTTTAAAGTTTCCGAATTTTTTCCGAGCTCCCCTATTGATTCGATCCACTGTGCGGCGCAGCGCGGCGCGACGTTTTTCTCTCCCGGTGCGCAGACGCGTCCCTGCGTTTTTGTTCCTATCCTCCCGGTGGAATCCGGATTCGAGGCCGCGAGGGTAAAGGGAGCATGAGCACGGTGCGGGAAGGGGGGCGGACAGAGCTTTGTAAAATGGGAGAGCCAAGAATCGATAACGACCTTTTCAAGCTCTTAAAAATTTGATCCCGTTCCTCTTCAACGCTTCGTAGCTTATTTTTCCGGGAAAATACCGCGTGCCAATCTTCTTTTTCTTTTTTTCAAAAAATAAAACAGGGACTTCTCCGGTAAAACAGCGTAAGCGGCTTCCGACGCTGCTAAGATTGTGCAGCGGGGTTTTTTAACTGCAAGTCGCGTAGCCGAAAGCTCTGCCATTGATTTCTCCCTGGATCTGCTCCGAATTTTTCCTCATCATCGTGTGAACGGAAGTCAAATTTAAATAAATTTCATTTACTACAAATTCAACGAAAAATTGCACGATCTTAACGGCATTGCAGGCCTCGTTCGCCTTGTTACCGAAGATGACCTCGATGGCGGACCAATGATCTTGGTGTGAAAAAGTGTGAGTCCACCGAGATCGCAATTCACAGATGTCGAGAATCACTAGGAGCCTTAAACTTGCTCCATGTCTTCAGGAGCGAACTTTCGCCAAATTATAGCCCCCCTTTTTTTAAATTTCAGGAGATGATACTGATCGTCTTTTGTACTCGTCGGACAAGCTACACTGACTTTGCTGAAATGTCTCGGCAAAATTTCGGGGTACATTCATTCACGAATCGAACGCGAGTTTTTTTGCTGAATATACCGGAGGAATATTTCACCGCGCTGGAAGTTGGAGCGTACGCTAGAAGGGATGCGATGATAGACCCACTGAGAGCAAGTTTTCATATTCCGTCCATTCATAGTATCATTATCGGTTGAATCTTGGCGCCACACATTCAGGGGGATAAATTTACGGCACCACCTCTCAAAACTGCTGGGTTCTAGGGTCTCAACTGTTCAAGATTCTCATAAATTACAACTAACTCTTTCAAGTTTTTGCAGAGAGTAAAAAACGAAAATTAAAAGGGATGATATTCGCCACGTCTTCCGAGTCTAACAGGTATAGAAAAACAACAATTTTACGCAAATGCTTGCCGGGGAAGGAAAGATATTAAAGGAGGGGGACCAAGAAAATAAATGAATAAATCGCAAGAAAAGTGCCTCGCATTTTTTAGGGGAACCGAGTATTGATAAGGCATGAGTTGAGGGGAATTTAAAGTAGTGAATTAGCGACAGCGGAAGAAATTAAGACGAGAGAAATAGAATGAGATGAAGGAGGTGAACAGCGGGCTGATTCTTGAAATTGATAGAAAAAACGATAGACAAAGACATAAAGAGTATGGAGCGATACTATTGGTTGAAATGTATATGGTTCTTATAGACTTAAAGATAATGGTGGACTTGGACTAACTATGGGGTCTCTCGTGGGTTGCTGTTAGTTAGTCTATTACCTTTGTCCATTGCAGCCACCTGCTTCCGCCAATAGGATGCCTTCATATCCCTCTTATCTTCTTTGTCTATGGCTTCGTCTATACATGTTTAACGATGAGCTTGCTGCAAGGGTGGGCGGAGCACAAGAAATCTACTGACAGATGAAAATTCTGCTTACCTATGATTATGATCTGAGTGATGTAATTCTTGCTTAGGCCCAGGGGTGATGATGGCAGAGTGGGAATGAGGGCTTAATCCAGGATGCGGAGTAATAAGTCCTGTTGGAGAGAACCTATAGAATTCGCTGCAAATAGAAACAATGCTAGGTCATAACAGAGAATTAGTTAGCGGCAGAAGGGGAGTTCGGGCGAAAAGAAAAAAAAACTTCCTGTTTAATTTCCTCGGCGGAACGGAGTGGTGAATTGATAAATGATGAACTTTTAAAATGATGATAATATACGAAGACACCCTGGAAACGCTTTGGGAACTTTTAAAAGCATTTAACGTTGTCACAGTGATGTTGAGAAATGAAATTGCTTAGTAAATCCCCAACTGTTTGAAGGAAGCTATTTTGATTGCCTAATAAAAGCAATGAATTGTGTACACAACATTATAAACGACATCCATAAAATTCTTTCTAATTCAAAGAACTTTTTGAAAAACTTTTCCAGTTCATCCTGACTCAGCAACTCTCCAGTTTCCCGGTGTTTTGTCTTTCTTCCTTTTCTCTTTACCCCTTCTTGTGGCGAATTCTGAATTGAATCGTGTCGATTGTCTGAGTGCCCGAAGTAAGATATAGGAAGTACCTAACTTTATTTGTCAGGTTATACAGGGAAAACTTTTTAGCGGATGAGTTTGACTACGTTTTACCCGTTTCATACTTTTTTTACGGGGGGGAGAGGACATTGATTTCACCAATGAAAATTTGGACATCAACAGTCATCTGAACAACTGTCAACTAAACATCTACTGCCCTAGCAATCCACTAATTAAACAAGATAAAATTGGGAGAACTTGGATTTTTGCCCATAAACTTTTGAACGAGAGCAACAATGCGCAAATTATATTTGAAAGAATTATCTGATCAAAGCTAACGGAATTAGACAGACAGAGAGGATGTGGGAGAGAGAGAGAGGGGGATCTAACGGAATATTGAGGAAAGTATGATAAGGGTTGTCAAGAATTGAAGTGTAGAGGTAGAATTGAATCTTGGCAAATTGATGACTAAACTTGCCGATTTCTGATATAACACCACTAGGAGAGGTTTATAGGGGCGCACGAGTGGTAATTTATTGCTAATTTGATAAACAACCCCCCCCCCCCCCCCCNCCCCAAGATGATGGGATTTGAAGATATTCCATTCGACATTGAAAAGGCGACTTATAAGACGATGGAAACCTAAGCAGGGCCGTATTCCGAATGAGGATATTAGGATCTCTTCTGGAGCCCGTAAAAAGTTTGTCCATGAAATAAAGACAGGAGAGAAAACAGGAGGAAGGAAAAGGAAGGAGGAAAGAAAAGGAAGGAGCAAGTTGCGGGCTGCCCATTACGGAGAATGGATTCCTTAATGTTATTATAAAATATCTGCACACACACTTGCAAAAATATTCTAATTAAATAATAATTGGAATTTGCAGTTTTTGTACTATCTAGAGTGGTCTTACTGGCAAGATTGGATTTTAGTTGAGGCTAAAAAAGAGGGGTCTTTTTCCGTAGAATTGAAATACAGAATCAAATTTGAGCAGTTTCTGCGCTGAATCTCACGAATTTGGCGATTGGGAAACTTCCTAGAACGACCTACACTAATCATACGTGCATCTTATGATGATGTACAAAAGGTAAAAAGAAGTTACATTTTACAGCAGGCGCGCCGACGCAAGATTCCTAATATTTCGACTTAAAGGGGGGGGGGTGTTCCTCCAGCGAAAAAGTATCGGACCTGTTTTGTTCCATCCAAAAATAACAATTTCCCGACTTATAGATCACGAACTTTCCATCTCTATAATCATCGCTGGAAAGAGGGGATAAATAAGGCGCTCGTGACTATTAAATTATAACGGTATCGATGAGATAACAGCTCCCCAGTTTTGAAACCGTCCTCAAAAAAGTTGTATCAACGTCATACATAGTTTGCAAAAAAAAAGAAAAGAAGTGTCACGTGACAAATACTTTCAGTCGTTAAATTTTCTTTTTCCCCAGATTTGTCGGCTTGGATCTCCTACCTTTACTCGTTTTTTCAATTATCTACACATATGCCCCGTTTGATGATTTGACGCGCGATTCGAGGGGGCGTCATATATACACGATGTTTCCTGGTCAAATCATATCACTTTACTCGACATTCTCATAAATTCGCATGCGATTTAGCATAATATCTTTCTGCAGAAAAAAATCGAGGAAACTGAGTTTTAATGAATTTTTTGGGAGTGCTGACTCTAGAGATTACAACACCTGTGCTTCTTAACTCTCCTTTATTTTTGCGGAGTAGACATAATTATCTAAATTGGAAGAAACTGATTTTTCAGTGCCTTTCTCTTAGGAAGCAATGCTAGCTAGGCATACATGCAGAAAACGTCACTTGCCTATTCACGATGCATTTTAGAGCACAAGAAACAAACTCATGATGAGTAATGATCATGGAATAATTATTTAATGAATATTTGCTTGAAAATTTTAAAATTTTCGCCGATTACGTCTCTACTGGCGATAGAATTGCTTAAAAGCGATTGCTATGAGAGAAAAATAAGAAAAAATACGAATTGGTTTACATTGGCTGAAGCAAGATTGTTTTTTCTCTCTTTTTTCCATCCTCCGGTTTGAACTTAACACTAAGGATTTTCTCCTAAAATTATTTGATATCTCAACCGAATAGAAAAGGAAAGCATATGTATCTATCTGAAGCTTTACCATTTTTCTTTAGCCACATCTTTCTCTCTGAATTCGTTTCAATTGATAAACATAAGAAAACTACGAGGTGCCCAAATTGCATCGCGAAGAGGATGAAATCGTCGCCCTCCCTCCCGACATGAGGGCGTAATTACACTCCGCAATGAATCCTCTTGATCTTATAATTCAATGCTTTTCCGGGCTCATCTCAAAATGTAGTTACGCCCTTTTGTCCGGCGAGTGACAAAATCTGAAGAGAGAAAATGTGAAAATCTTACCTTGGTAAACTTGTACTAGGAATAGGAAGTGAGGAGGGGTACGGACTTCTAAAGCCCGGCGCCCCCGATGAGATCGGATACATACTGGGACTGTGCCTGAAAAATTACCAGAAAAAACAATATCGTCAATACTCGCATCATCATAATTTTTCCTCCAAGTGAATACAATTTCAGAATATTACCGTCGGATTATAGAGTAAGTTGTAACACCACTCATTAAACAATGCAGATTTTGGAGAAACACTCAGGGTGATTCGATGGACGCCATATTTTGTGTCAGAACATGACATGCGATATATCACATCAGTTGGTTCCATTTTTTCTCGTCCTTTTTCTCGAATTTTGAGATCGCAATTCTGTTGGTATGGACGCTGCAAAAAATAAATTCCTATCCAAGATCCACCCGAGAGTAGTTCAAATTTAGCAGGTCGATAGTGACTATTGAGGGACTGAATTATGTTGGCACTGCGAGCTGATTATTGAAATTGATGGACAAAGTTATAGACTAAGAGGACATAAGGAGTAAGGAGCGATCCTATTGGTTGAAATGGGTGGTCGTTATACACGTAGACTAGGGGAGAAAATGATGGACTAACTATAGGGTCTCTCGTGAGGTACCGTTAGTTAGTCTATTTCCTATGTCCTTTGTCCATTGGAACCACTCGCTTCTACCAATAGGATCCCTCCATGTTCTTTTTGCCTTCTTTGTCTATTGCTTTGTCTATCAATTTCAATAATGAGCCCGCTGCCGACTGGACGAGGTTCTCGGTCGGGAAATCTAAAAGAGACGACGGAAGGGGTGAGGCAGTAGCGGGGGGAGATTTGAGGGAAAAACTTGCTCATTCGAGACACGAAAAGACACGGGTTACTTAGATTTAATGGTCAGTTCGATGAGAGGGAGAAAGGACAAGACGTTGAGTGGATGGCCGCAAAGCCGATTAGAAAGGCGCGATTTGTGCGGGAGAGGCAAGAGGGTGGAGAAAGCCAGGAAGTTGTGCGGAGGAATGGGGAAGGCAAGAAATTAGAGGTGCGCCGGAAAAGGCTGTAAAAGCTGCGGGTTGGCGGTGAGGATGTTATAATTGGCCGATTTATATACGATAAGGCCCCGGCGAGGGAGGGCCGAGGGCTCCGATATCCGGTGATTGACCGACCCCAACATTCTTATTTACCAATTGGTCACCTACATGTTTGTGTCCGATGTTTCCACCCTATTAAGCATCCTCCTTACGTGTTACGTTTACCAACTTGGCAATTCCTTTTTCATCTCCGCGTCCTTTTTATTATTTATTTGCTTGTTTGTAGACTCTTATACAGTCTTCCCTCCGTAAGAAATCCTTACTCCTGTTTTTCATCCCTCAGGATAAATCCTCTTATCCCTCGCCCGCTGCACACGCTTCCCCTTTCCGTCTCCGTCTCCGCCCGGCTTAGCCCCGTCTTCCTTCCTCCGTTTCCTTCTCGTTCAGCCGAACCCGCGGCCGTGGCCGGAAAAAGGGACACGGGGGAGAAAGTGAGGAGGAAAAATAAGAAGGAAAAAAAACCGAATCTTTTCGCTTGCGCTTGCTGAATAAGCTCAACTACTCGCTTCATTTAATATTCCGTTTACTTTTAAATACTAAAATAAATCCACCACTTGAGCTGCTCTACATACATTCATCTGATTTATTTTCATTATCCGAAACGCCTCTACATACTTTTATTTTCCAGGGGCCCGGGCGTTTGCAGAATTTTCCGACTCAATTCCTCCTGCTTTCAATCCGGCTTTCTCCGCTTCTTTCGGTTCCTTTCCTCTCGTTTTTATCCCCGCCTTCCTCCCTCTTTCCTTCCCTTTCATTTTAGGGCGAAACATTAGCGCTCCGGCGAGGCGCGGCTCGGCTTGCTCGGCGAAACAAAGTTAGCACTCTTCGCATCCATCCAGCTGTAGTAATATAAACATTTTCAATTAATCCGCGAATCACTCGAATAAATATCGTCTCTCTTCCTTCACGTGGCGGTGCAGCGGGAGTCACGAGTAGCTGATTTACGATCAAGCAACATACTTGCCTTTGGGCAATGTAGATCGTGTTTTTCAGTATTTTCATCGAAATTCATGGGATCACAGGTTGGTCTGGTCCCCGATTGTAACTGGAATCGCAGCCTGAGCGACGTAGAAAAATACATAAAAAGGAAAGGACCATCAAAATATGTAAAAGGCAAAAGGCAGGTTCTCAGGGTGTCTACCGGTTATAAAAAACATAATTGGGGACTTTCGGGGATTTTAAGGGGTATTTTTTCAAGAAAATCTGGGAATTTTTTTTCCGAAATAGTGAGAGAAAGGGAGCTAGTTAGAGCGTTAAAAGGCGTATTTTATACGACTAATTTCACAAGTCATGATGAAACGATGAAAACATCCGAAAAATCAAGCAACACTTCAGTTTTTTATGCCTGGTTATACCGGCCGGAAATGCCGGTGTTTCGGACGATTTTTGTCATTTTTTGGGGACTTGAACAAGAAAAGTGCGGACTTACGGGAATAATGGGGACGCCTTTCCAAAATCGGGGATAATCGGGGACATAGGGGGACCGGCAGACACCCTGGTTCTATGCTTGACACGGAAGGTCTAAGTAATTCTTTCTCTATGAACATATTTGAGCCACTGTTTTAAACATTACTGAAGAAGGTGAAATTTTAACAGGGATAACTTACCATGATGCTGCCACTTGGGACATTTCTGGACTTAGCACCGGATAAGGATATTGGCCAGTAGTGAATGGGTACACAGCCGGCCTCGTCAGACCTGAACAAACAAAAAACAGCAGCTATAAAGATCAAGAACTAAAATAAAAATTGAACCTTTCACCATGACAGCAACGTTCAGCAAAATTGCAGACCAATTGAAGGATTTAACCCATGCATGCACCCATCACCGCAACTTTATTCACGGCACCTTGATGGTGATATCAAATAGAAACTACTTATTGTTAGTCATTTTTATGATATAATAAGAGCGAAAAAGTCAGCACTCCCATCTCACCCAATGCCGATTCATGTAACTTTCAACGGTAAGGTAAGGAATTTCGAGAGCGAATACAGGTGCGAAGATAGCTAACAGGCGCTAAAAGGACGGTCAAATTTATTTTTAGAATACAACAAATGAAGGAAAACTAATTATTAAAAGGACTTCAGAATCATTAATGCTTCCAGAGGATTCGATTTCTGAGCTCCGGTGGTACGACAAGACAGGGTGTCTACTGAAATTTCATTTGGGATTTTACTGATACTTCAGCTGATGATTCCAGATTTTTGGCGCGAATAAATGGACACTCGTTTGATTTTACAAACCAGAATATGTAATGAATAGGAGAAAATATTCCTTTTTAGCATCTGCTAAACTGCATGTAGTTGAAAAACGCTTGAGGCACTCGGGATCACCTAATCCATTACCAATTTTCCTGATTACATCGAGTTTCATGATATTTTCCGGTTTTAACGACGGTAGACACCCTGTAATAAAGACTCGGGCGACTTAAAAAAAAAAAAAAAAAAAAAAAAAACCGAAGAATTTTCCTCATCATCTAATGTTGGAGATCATAAAAAACTTAAGCCTCCGACGGAGAAGGAGGCGATAAGTGCGACAAATACCCCCTGAAAACTCTTAAGAACCCGGGAGATCGTGGGGGAGACATTTTAATTTTCCCCGCGAATTCACCCGAATTTCGAGTAATTTCTTGAGTAACCTTCAGCGGGGAGGGGAGGGCCATCGAACGACGACAATGAGTCGGAGCGCACATCCACGAAAAAAAATCAGGAGTGTTTACCGTGGAAGAAGGAGGGATAATAAGGAGAGAGGTGAGTAGGGCGGAAACGAAGACGGGAAGGGGGCGGGGGCGGGAAGGCTTTCAGCGACGCATAATGAGTGAACAGGAGAAAACAAATGACAACAAAAACAATATACAAGCGCTTTTCCCCAGCTACTTGCAACTGCGCCACTTGCGCCTGCCAAAAGAACTTGCGCGACAGACTTAAATACGACTGCAAACACCACGAGCATGAGCCGGCATGAGGATTCAACCACCGCCGCGCCGCTCCTCATCTTCAAATCGTTGCCAGAGAACAGGAAAATACGAAATATACGCATGAATTCCTGTTTTCACCGAGCGTCGGCACTCCCATTTCCTGGAACTAGTCCCGAATGCCGGAATTTTTTAGGTTTTTATGATTTTTTCCTGGAACTTTCGGAATTCCCGAAAAGTTCCGGATCTTTTGCAATTCCCGAAATGTTCCGGATCTTTTGCAATTCCCGAAATGTTCCGGATCTTTTGAAATTCCCGAAATGTTCGGGATCGTTTGAAATTCCCGAAATGTTCCGGATCTTTTGCAATTCCCGAAATATTCCGGATCTTTTGAAATTCCCGAAATGTTCGGGATCTTTTGCAATTCCCGAAATGTTCCGGATCTTTTGAAATTCCCGAAATGTTCCGGACCTTTCGAATTTTCCAGAACTTTCTCGGAACTTTTGATAAATCCGAAAGGAATCCCGGAATTATTGACGGAAACGGAATGGGAGCAGTGTGACTTCCCACGATAGCGAAAACCGAAGGGCAATCAAAATTTCTAACTTAATCTCAACTGCTTTACATTTTCCACTACACCTGGACAGCCTGTGGGCTGCTTATGGACACTAATAGACAAATTGAGAGACCTAGAAGAAAAACAGAAGATGGAGGGATCCTATTGGTTGAGACTGTTGGTTACGTTTGAAAATTAAATTAAAATTGCTTTAAAGCTTCATCTAGAAGGACCGGAGTAGAGCAATTCGCCTTCTGTTACAGTTTAATCAGACAGAGGCTCTGATACAAACGCTTGAACGCAAATTTATCTGCTCTGATGATGTCCATGTAGCATATTCACTGGAATTAAGGCGCTATGGATTTCTCTGGGCGCATATCAAAGGCATTTCAAAGTTTTTTTATAGCGGCACAGTTTTTGGATGATCTCGTCGACAACTTTTTATCAAAACCTGGGATAAGTTACAAGTAAATAAATAAAATTCTTAGGAATTACTATTTCTTCTTAATTGGCACATGTGCTCCTCTACATTCGACTTCATAATTTTACAAATGATATAAATTTTTAGTAATAAACAATTGGCAAGGGTATTTCGCAAGTTTTGGAACTCGAAGATTTACCTTAATTTGCTTCATTTGAATTTTGGCATGGATGGTTGTGGGAATATTTACGCAAGGGGAGAGATTGGTGCTGGTAATTTTTTAGGGGTTGAAAACAGATCTCTCTGCGAAACATTAATCGGGATGATGAGTCGCTCGGGTACAACTGGCAACTCACGAACCTACACGTGGATCCTCGGAGCGAGAGCCGACGGTTTCAGGTGGAGGTAATTGTGAGAGAGCAGCATTGTGCGCTTGGGCCAAGGGCTGTACATGGAGTTCCACGAGAGTGTTACCGGAGGGGTTGGGGGAGGGGGAGGGAGGGCGTCAAAGAAACTGCTAAGTGTGCAAAGGAAAAAAAAGTCCGGACCAACCATCGAAGTATTCCTCCGAGCATCGCTTCGATTAGTTTCAGGCAAATTTCAGAGCCGACAGCGATACATCGGCTCGATTCTGGAGACACACTTTCAGCGTGAAAAATGCGGAACTTTCACGATTTGTCAACGTCGCCTCGGGTACGCAGGGGGTCGAAGAGCCCCGCCACTCCTTAACTCTTCCGGGAGCTACTCAAACGGGCGAGAGGAAGGGGGTTGCATCGAGTGTCATTGTATTTTTGTTCGAGAATTCCAACTAGCTGTCAAGTGCTCCTAACTCTCGAGTCTCAGCTCCCTCCTGGCCTGCTTTTCACATTGTTCCTGGTCCCTACGCCTCCCTCTCTGCGCTTTTTTTCCTTTTTTCCTCTCTCTCTTTTTTTGAGTTTGTCTTATATTATTAACGGCGTCATCCTATTTCAGTGACACGGTATACTTGTTTCTATTACAATTAGCCTCGTCGTAGCGTCGTCGCTATTATGTAAACGGCGTGACTACTTACTTATACTTGGCGTCCTCCTTCAATGTTCCATCCGACGGGTGCCATCTATGCCCCCCCCCCCTCCTCCCCCACTTTTAACCCAACAGCGCAGCGCCTCCGAGAGCCTTAGTTTCGGGCGCTCATTTTCAAACGTGTCCCCGACCCTTTACCCACAACACCGCCCTTTTCAGCCACCCGCCCGGATCAACGTTGCCAAATTCTTCGAAAAGAAAGGGTTAGGCGAGGGTTACCAAAAAAAAAAAAAAATCAATAAAAAATGTTCTTCGACTTTTTCCTGACAATACGTAATATGAGGAAATCTTCATATAAACATTTTGAAAGCAGATTTTGCTTATAAACTTCGTTATTTTCATACATTCCCTGATCTTCATTCCGACTTGGTCAAATCTTACTCCATAATATACGGCCATTAAAGAGACGAGTAACGCATAACGCCTGAAATGCAAAGCGCTTTGGAGGTTGGACTGTGGAGTGGCCGGGGACGTACCCTCGATTTACGTTTAACCGTTTTCTGGCGCCTTTTTTGATCCAGATTAAAAAGGGCGCCAGAAAACGAATCTCATATGAAATATTTCGATCTAAAGAGGCCTTTGATCGTCGCTTACCAGCGGCGTGGCATGCTTTGCGATCTATCGATTGATCTGCCATTTAAACCTATGGAAAAGGATCGATTAGCTGGGTGTAACATTAGTAATAGATTCTTCACCACAGCTTCGAATGGGGGAAATATCGATAATCGATCATTCACGCCTCGGCACTGGAGCTGACATTGCGTTGAGTAAAACGCGACTTGACCGAGAATTTGCCATTTAAAAATTGACTACATTTTGCAATATGGAACTATAAATTCTAGCCCGGTTTAAAAACAACGTATATGCCATTAGTTTCCCTATGCACATAAGTGTTTTTCCAGAAGAGCCAGAATTTATAGGTCCAAATTGGAAAATGCAGTCACATTGAGTTGAGTAAAACGCGACTTGACCGAGAATTTGCCATATAAAAATGGACTACATTTTGCAATATGGAACTATAAATTCTAGCCCGGTTTAAAAACAACGTATATGCCATTAGTTTCCCTATGCACATAAGTGTTTTTCCAGAAAAGCCAGAATTTATAGGTCCAAATTGGAAAATGCAGTCACATTGAGTTGAGTAAAACGCGACTTGACCGAGGATTTGCCATTTAAAAATGGACTACATTTTGCAATATGGAACTATAAATTCTAGCCCGGTTTAAAAACAACGTATATGCCATTAGTTTCCATATGCACATGAGTGTTTTTCCAGAAGAGCCAGAATTTATAGGTCCAAATTGGAAAATGCAGTCCAAATGATTATCGGCTGGCCAGAGCGAACCAAGTCCACGGTCTGGTTTGTTTCCCGTTTGAAAAGTCTCTAGGCTGGAGAGATCGGAAATCGCGGCTGAGAAATGTGCGCACTGATTTCCGACGGAAAAATGGTGACGGGTTATCGGCACGTACTTTCTCCATTCTTGACGTGTCGCAAAATTTTGGAACACGATTTCGCAACCACCGCAACCTACAACGATCCCCGGAACGCTCGGAGAGACCTGCCGATTTTTCACTCTCAGCTCCTATTGAAGTTTTTTTCCGCCACACAAAAATCAGCTGTCAATTGTCCGAAATTGCCTGATTTAGCGCAGGAGCAAGTTGACACTCGTTCCATTTCACAAACCAGGCTATTTAATGAATGGAGAATTTGCAGGTGTCTGAAATTTGACGAATTCCTTAGTCCA